GACTAAAACGTCACCATATTCTAGAGCTAGAAGACCGGCAGTAGCTCTAGGCTGCAGATGAGTAGATGCTTCCAATTGGAAGTCACTCCACATGACAGCACCACAGAACAGATAGGGCAAATACCTACAGAAAAAAAGAATGTGTGTACACGCGTTAGAAGTTATACTTCTTTGGCGTAACAAGATAAAAATCTTTTCATAAATTGTATTCTACGTTTGTAGAAAAAAACGACACTAACAATAGAAAAAACTAAAATGTTAACTATAGATTATAACTTCAGGGTGTCGTGTGTGGTTTTTTGAGACGGTGTGCGCGCGCATCGTAAAAATTTACCATCATCATTTTTCCCTAACGCGCCAAAAGAAGTATAACTTCAAAAATGTTAGCCTACGAACTTTTCAGCCTACCTAATACGTCGATTTATGGATTTGATTTGTAACGTATACGACGACGAATACTTGAGTATCGAATTACAGTAGTTTGTAAGTAGCTAACACTTTCGACCTATACAAAATAAAGTCGTTCAACATCCTGCTCAAACCTATACTAGTTTCTCGTAAAAAATAAACAATTTTCATTCAAAACACCTGCCGGCTCCTTTACCTTATCTTATTGGTTGAGGATCACTGATTACACTTTTTATCGCCCTTTGGGTGCATTTTATAACATCGTCGGTTCCCGTGAATATTTAAACTTGTTACAACGTTTTTTACATCCCGCTTATAAGTGGAGTTTTACATCTCGTAAATAAACTGGGTTAAGTAAAGAGAATTAATAAAGATTTGAGTTCTGTTTTATAAAGTAGAACTGGAATATAATTATATTTTCTTTGAATATTTATCGTCGAGTATGCTTTAGGTATTTCTTTACACTAAATATTAGATATTTCCTAGACGATACGACTTCAAGAAAAGAGCGTTTCATTCCCTTAAAGTGGCTCCTGTCCTGTAAAAAATTATTCAAACTAACTTTTTTCGCTTCTTGTGGTTTGATATAAACTGCCTTACAGCAACTGTATGTAATTAGACACAGTCTCTAACGTCTTGCGTAGATCTCTTGTGCTATTAAACAGATTCTAAGACAAATTTAACCAATGGGTAGTATAATTAAACAGTTACATCCATATGTTATTAAACAAAGCCTCTCTTACAAGCCTAACCTAAGCTTACGAAGCTTTAAAAATATGCATTTCTGTATCTACTAGTAGATAGCAATTTTTATAAGTAATTTTAGTGTAACAAAAAATCGAACAGCGTCTAAACACAACAATATCCATATATTACATATATCTCAGCTCCAGCTGCAACAGCTATGTAAGTCTGTAGCTAAACAATAATTAGATAATATATTCAAAGCTAAGTGCTTTTGCTAAGTACGGAATATCGACCAAGTTGCGGTGCCCTTGTGGTCTTGTGGTGTATATTACCTCTTCTTCAATGTTCTACCAATATACACATTGATTTTCATATTATGAATTATTCTAGTTGTCTAAATATTCAATACTGTTATTTACACATATTATATATTATTATACAGATTACAGATATTCGGTTGTCTATGGTTACGTTAAAAAGGACACGCTTAGCGTCGCAATAGTTATATATACCCCAGTTTAAAGGACGTATTTAAAAGTTGCTTAAAATTATTAAAAAAGAGAGTATTTTTTTGTATCTGTTTGTTAGAACACACAGATTCTTCATAGAAATATTTCTTTCTTTATGTACATAACATAAATTATTTTAAGGAGAGAGCAGTGTTGGCCTAGTGGCTTTAGCGTGCGATTCCCATCCCTGAATTCGTTTGAACGACTGTGCACCAACGGACGTTCTATGTGCGCATTTAACACTCGTACGAAGAAAAACATCGTGAGGAAACTGACATACCTTAGATCCGTTTGTCAGGTATACAAGGCTGATCATCTACTTGCGTATAAGAAAATTGTAGCGCCTGATTATTAATACGTTTAGGTTATATAAGTAAATTTGATACTGAAATATGTATATAAAAGCTGTTATTATGTTAAATATGGGCAGCCCAACCTTAGCCTTTTGTAATGATAATACGATTCTAATGAATAAAATTCTATGGAAGCCCTTGAATTCATTGAGTATTTCCTTTGTTGTGCAGTTGGTCAGGCGCGGTTTTATTCATAATGTACATACGTACTTGCGTTGGTACTAAAATCCGTCGAAGTTTTGGCTTTCGTAAAGCAATTTTTTTTTATAGAATAGGGGGCAAACCGGCAAACCTTAGTCGAATTGGCTCGGAAATACATCAGTGGGCAGTTGGTTCCACATAGTGGTGGTGCGTGGTAAAAACTGTCTTAAAAAACGTGCAATACGATAAATTAAAAAAAAACGAATTTTAAGCTAATCGCTATCGTAGAAGCGTAAAAATGAAGGTTTTAAAAAAAAGAGTACAAAAATTTAAATATAAATTTTTCATCATGAGGTATAAAAAATAGGACCTATTCTCAAGCCCGAATTCTAAAACGTCAATCAAGCTTAAGTCTAGATTCAACAGCCAACAAACCATTTTTTCTGTATGAAGTATTTGACATATTTGATGGCGGTCAAGACGAGATTGTTTGTCTTAAGACACGAATCAGAATATGGATCTCAGACTTACCAAATATAAACAAAACTTTCATAAAAATCAGTCATGCCGTTCTGGTGGAGTTTGGTTAAGAAAACTGACACGAGAGTTTCAGTAACACGTTATAGTACACAATCTTCATGTCGGTTAAAGTTAAACAAAAGACGATAAAACCTATTTAATTAAATCTTTTATAGAAAACAAATTATTGAATAATACATTTAACTCTTGAGCTTATTTTAAAAATATACCTAAAATCACGTATTTATTCCGATACCAGCCTGTATACAGGAAAGAAACCACAAACAAACATAGATCAATAAACCACATGGTGTTGATTTCTGTGAATTGGAGCAGGGTTTATTGTAATCTGTTTATTATTACACTTTGAAGAATTTATTTAACTACTAAAAACAATTGTAAATCTTAACACATTCATGTTGAGGCCATGTCTTTTAATCTGTAGATTTATATTCAGAGTAATGAATGTTTAAAGGACTTTATTTCACATTACAAAAATGAATTTCTTTACACGAGAAACAATATACGAACGAGATACACGTCGCCATCATCAGTCGTCCTCCGTCTACTAGACTCTTCCTGATATGTATCTTTAATGCCCTTTTGAATTGGTTAAACGCGCTAATATTACCAATTTTAGACGGTAATTGATTAAATAATTGCACACCCTAATACATAATAGCCTTCAAATAATTTGTACGCGGCTTCGGCAAGATAAGCAAACTCGCTCGACGAGTATTGCGTGTAGTGGTGTGTTTGATTTGTTTAAATGATAAGCTACTATGGAGAGAGTAATTAATAGTGTGTGGGCCTGGGTATCCGTTAGCGATATCCAGGATGCTTCCTTTCCTCGGTAAAATACTATGCGCTGGTTCGGCTGTCGCGTGTCACTATATACAGTAGTTTCAACTACTCATACTTGCGCCATTACGGAACAACACTATTTCCGGTTCGTGTGTCAAAGTCAAAACCGACAATTGTCATCCTTCTTTGACTGACACTGATTATCACAAACAAATAGATTAAAAAAACTTAATCATAGATTCAGTCAGTTCATCCTGCACTATGTCCCTTAAATGAGTAATAATAATAAAGCCCTGTTATTTTAGATACATTACATTTAAATACATTTATATTTCTATCATGTTATTCTCTCTATATATATCTGTGTGCCCTTTTTTAGGAAAGGCCTCCTCCATATCCGCATTTTCCGTCAAAACTGTGTCACCGTCCGCTTGCTGTCCTGCGATTCTGTACCTCACTTTTCACACAATGACTGCTTCACGACTGATTTGAGAGCGACCGCCGATACGAAAACCGCTGTGTGAGTTCGAAAAGTGAGTTACAGAATCGCAGGGCTGTCCTTAATCTCGTCTTTCCACCTTCTAAATTGTCTCCTTTTTTCCGTTCCTCTCCACTTTTCTGTTCCTCTTGTCATGTGCCCTGCTGATTTCCACTTCAGTTTATTTATTTTCATTGTGAAATCTGCTACCTTGTTTTTTTTTGTTTTTAATGATGTATTTATTTTATCTAATCTTCCCTTCCCTATCATACATCGTTCCATCGACCTTTGTTTGCTGCGCTTTAGTGCGCGCCCAAGTTTGAGATCCATATTGAAATTGGGTATTCCAATTCATCAAAACAACAGCGTCGGTCAGACACGTGATACGGCCGGTAAAACAAAAGACGACGGCGCGTTCCGTGTCATTGTGGTTGACATTTCTTGTCTACACAAAGACTTGCAATATACGTCATTCCGTTTGCCCAATTATAATCAAACGCGTTTTTTTTCTTTTTTTTTATACAGAACTTGACAGACGTTTGGCTTATGGCTCAGCAGATAATAAAAATATACCTAAAATCACGAGATATGGCCTATTGGAGGGCACGCCTGTCCAGTAGATGCCTGTTTAATCACCGCTTAAACTAACCCATATTATACTGTCTAGGGCAAGGAGTTCCACTCATTTGCTGTTTTTATAAGAAATGATGAACCAAATCGTGCAGTGTGGCACCTGGTGATGTTAAAAATGAAAGGGTGAAACTCCAGCGTGCTTCTATATCAGCATTTTCTTGCGTTTTATTCTCACTACCGAGTTTCTTTACATTGTTAGCATAAAATAAAAACATTTTACGATAACCTTTATCTATGATTTTTAACTGTAATTTACTAGTTTATTTCAATTAAGTATTATAAATTAGTAAAGTTTAAACTGATACTAAGTTCTCCGCGAAATGTTTTTATTATAATGTACGACCAAACTAAATTTATTAATCCAATTTAATAAGCAATTGAAATAATGATTTAAACATTTCCTTTCAGATATCCGCTCGAGTGTCACAATGTGAGGAATAAAGTGTGAAAATGTGAATAACAAGAACAATGATCAAAATTCGTGTAGCGTGCTTAGTGATGTTCGCAGTCCTGCAGCGGAGCGCCGAGAGCCAGCAAGACGTTATTATAGAGGAATCTTGTTAGTATTTGTTCTCAAATTTATTCCAATTCACGCATTTACACGCACGCATTCATTGAGTTGTGAGTAACGGTGTATAATATAAAAATCGGCTTTATACTTAGCACAAAATTAATACAAATATATATTGTATCTATAGCCATGTGTCTTGTAGCCATGTGTAGTAAGGGAGCGTTCAAGTATTACGTCACGCAATTTTGGAGATTATTGACACCGTTACGGCACGTTACATGGGCCCCCCCCATGTAACGTGCCGTAACGTTCCCAAGTACTCAAGTATAGTAAAAGGTTTCGTGACCACCTAGTGACTCTGTATACTTAAAAGTTACCATTATGTGGCGTTAAGTACGGAAAAGTCGAAAATAACATTAACAACAATTCGTAATTCAATCCAAAATTCGTTACGTAATACCTACTTGAACGCTCCCTAATCTAGTTGTCGGTTTTGTTTTGTTTTCTTTCTTTTTTATAACTTTGCCTACATATGTACATTTTTGTTACCACACAATATGACTTTGCTGTGGAATGGAAGCCCGATTATCCATATCACACCTAGCTTTTAAAACCAGTCTCCTAATACCTTCTTAACTGAAATCGTATTGTTTGTTTCAAAAAATAAAGAATTATTATATTATATTATTTATTCATAACAATCAAAGAAAACAGTACTTACAATTTCCTGTTCTTGCTGCCAGCGTTAAAGGAACACTGCAACAGGGTCCAAACATTTTAAATTTGTTTTTTTACTTTTTATTAATTTTTAATTATTTTTATTATTACTACGTAGGTTAACAATTAATTAGGTATTAGTAATTTAATTAATTACAGTAGATTAAAGTTGTAATCCGGAAAGTTTTAGGTTTTGATAGTCCGAAACAATTATTGATTCGATTTGGAAGGCTGATTGCTTATTGACTTAGTTTTCCAATGCCCCAATGTACCGTTTCACTTTTTTAAATTCCATGACGATATCCGGCAAAACGTAATAATATGGATTCCAAATCTCAATTAGGTTAGGCGAAACCATTATAAAGGAATAAAGATAAATTATTTCCAAAAGAATTAATTCAATGGCGCCGACAGCTGACACCGCTACAGTTAAATTTAATCTTAAATCTCTTCCGATATCTTAATTAACTGGATATCTATTAAAGGAAAAACTTCACAAAAAGTTACACAAAGGCCTTTGACAGTACGGCGTGAAATATGGCCCCTTTTTGTGGTTGATTTAGAATACTTAGGGCGTAATAGGCCGCAAAAGATTTAGGTCAGAGATAGTTCTTCGAACTAAAGTTATGGGCGTCGCTTCGTGTAGAAGTTGTTTTTTGAAACATTGCTCAATGGGGTGTTTCTGTTTCATTTATAGGATTAATAAGTGTGTGCCTGATGCTGATGTCCCACATGCCTAGGCCAAGAGCAGTGTTGGCCTAGAGGCTTCACCTCTAAGATCGTAGATTCGATCCCCGGCTGTGCACCAATGGACTTTCTATAAGTGCATTTAACATTCGTTCGAACGGTGAAGGAAAACATCGTGAGGAAACCGACATGTCTTAGATCAAAAAAGTCGCCGGCGTGTGTCAGGCACTGGAGGCTTTTCACCTACTTGCCTTTTAGATTTAAAAATGATCATGAAACAGATCAGAAATCTGAGGCCCAGACATAAAACAGGTTGTAGCGTCACTGTACTGTCGCAACAGGACTTCATTATAGGCACCAGCCTCTCACAAAGATGGTCAATATCTGCAGCTTGTAAACCCGTAAAATAAAATATTGTGAAGAGGCCAATAAACTTGATTAATATATAAGTTCGCATAACTGCCACAGTTCGTTCTCACAGATTAATTGCGCATAAAGAAAGATCCATTGAGTTCACAAGTTATGGGTTCAGTGTCGCTCTTTATAACCCAGTTTTTAACCGACTTTAAAATTCAAAGGAAGGACTTTAACTTATCGATTTATTTAAATAGTTGTACTTATAACAGCCGTTTCAAGTTTGTATAGTATTGTCCTAAAAAACTGTAACAAATATTCTCTATAGAAAGTTGCAATTCACGACTCCACGCTAAAAGATTCAACAGTCTTATAAACTTCATTGTTGGCGAATCAGACCACAACCCAAGGTTATCAGCAGTTAAAGTGAAAAAAAAAACATATTTCGCAGTTCGCACCTATAAGAAGCTATCTACAAATTATTGTTATAGACGGTATAATTTCCGTTTTTAAAATTGCGTTATCTATGGATAGCATCTATATTGACACAGCCAGTCGTGTGTTTCTATGTAAAACCCTTGAAAGAGGTGGTATTGAATTTTTCACTTCATTGTTAGTTTTATTATTGAGAACAACAGAGTACTGACACAGATCTTTCTAAAGAGCTCTTGGAGACGCATTATAACTAATGCCCTCGTCACAAGTGCGAACCGATACCAAAAAAGTAAGGTGGTGTATGGGTATGCTGACTAATTATTGGATAATTTATTAACACAGTCTATATATATACATATTTTTGTGAGACTAGATTCAAACAATATATACATATATTTTAAAACAAATTCGCGTCATAACGCTTTTGGTTCTTTGATCGGAACCCACCAGAGGTGAAGAGCAAATTAAAATGTTTATATCTATAATTTGCGCTTTGACCGGACTTCGAACCTGATCACTCTATACAAAATCGCCTTGCGATGAGGTCATAAAGGTAACCGAAGTTTAAACAGTTGATAATTTTACAGCGTCCATAGAATCTGTACATGCTGCGCTAGGGCGGGCGGCGGAGTTGCCCTGTGACGTCACGCCGGCAATTGCCCATGACAGCGTCGCATTGGTCATTTGGTACAAGCAGGGACACAACACACCTGTGTATACGTAAGTATTATAATGATAACTACAAAAAAGTAATGAATAAATATATCTTCTTATAAGTAGAAATATGGAATATATTTAAATTAAAAAATATGAATATTAATGTTTTGTGCCAGTATGAGCTATTTTCACTTTTAACTAAAAAAAAAAAACTTGTCAAATATAGTCTCACCTCCTTAGACACGCGCAATTTGTGTTTCCTATGCTTGGCGCGAATACTATATAATTGTGTTCTGTGGATGCTTATAATCCACAGATCACGAAGATCGTAGTTATAATAGTGTTTAGATCGTGCCGAAACTTGTTTAAGTTGACACGTTGTCTCTGGTAGATCTATGGAGTATTAACGAAAAAAGTAATTATTATAATATTTGCCTAACACTCTTATCACTTATGAGTTATAGTGTTTACTGTTTATGGCACAATAACTATTTATAGGCACAATAACTATTTATGGTATTGTTATATTATGGGAAATTATTAACGTTTCATTAAATTAAATTTGTTTTAGCTGGTTCAACGCATGAAATCATTGTCCAACTATCTAAAAATTCATTATTAACGACTCATATCATATAGTTGCTCTTCTACCAGGGACTATTATTATTCTAATCTCAAAGTATTTGTGTAGCGCGTTTTAATTGGGCTATCGCGCCATCTAGGTTGCATTATAAGAAAACATTTGTTTTGTTATAAAATACATTTTTACGGCCTATACTGCTTATAGTGTGCAATCGAGATTAATATACCAGAATTTACCTAAATAAGTTCTGGGAATTTTCTAAATTAACCAATAATTCTATATTAAATCCGTATATATAATGTCAAAATTGCGCTTTAAAAACTTTTAATTAATAACAGGAAGTTAAAATTGGAATTAAATTGTGATCAGTATTAATTACGTCTCAAGAGAACTCTGGATGTGCTTGACATGTCAAGATACGGATTGACACTCGAGCTTAATGCACGGTTAATGGAATGCGCTTAACAACATTATAATTGAAGAACTAAAAGTGTTTTATGATATGAACATTAATTTATTCTTGAATTGTTTGTCAAGTATTCTGAGACATCGATTTTTGGGTTTTAACTTGCGGGACATTTATAAGTATTAATTGGACAAACATTAACACTAATTCATGTGCAATTAATAAACAATAACTGTCATTGGAAAACAAAACAAACAAATAAAAAAAACGTGTGCGTGTAACCTTTACGCGCGATTGAAGTAAAACTTATTTGGCGTTGAAGGCATATATGCCACTGGAATGATTAAATAATAACTTAAATAATAAATATCATATTATAATTTAATTATATTGATTTTTTTGGGATAATTTTAATTTTTAATTTTTAGGATTATTAATTTGGGATTAATTTACTTCTTCCAAAATGGTAAAATACGAAGTTAAGCGAAAAAACTGGCCGTATGTTAAAAAAGAAAAGCAAGCTAGGATGGGAACCTTCCCTCTTTAGTGGAATTTTAATTTTTTCACATGTTACTAGTATGGATTTTCATTTTAAATATAAATATACTAATAATAACATAATTATAAGAATCAGTATCAAATAATACGAGTGAATGCTATCCTAAATAAACACTACCAAAAAACGGACTTAAATCAGTTCAAATAATGCACCATTAGATGGCGCTGACGGTCTTATAAAACGCGCTATCGTTGTTATTTTTAAATAGTGGAAACTACACAGACTAAAGTAAGTGGACGGAAGTAATCAGTCAGAAACAAATCCAAGTTACCCCCTAGTCGCGCCCTAAGAAGTTTTACTTCAAAAATACGATTATTTGAGAACAAATACTTGGGATTAGGGATTACATTCGCATAAAAAACATTTTTTTATTAATCGATATTTTCTTAGCAGAAAATCGATTAACAAATAATCATTTTTCTTAAAAAAAATAATCGATTTTTTATTAATCGATTTTTTCCTAATTTTGGATTAATTTCAAAATAATCACCCTAAATATTTTATTTTTCAGTTTTTTTAAATATAAATAAACAATAAAAATATAAACACAAATTAACTTTAAGAATAATCAAAATCAAATTAACTAATCTCGTTTTGTAGATTTTAGGGATTGATAAATGCTGAGTGTATGCCTTTTCAGAAGCACATTGCAGTATTTTTGTTGTCTTTTTAATTGTATGTAATTGTGCGTGAATAAATTTATTTTACTTTTAAATTATAATGTTCCATTCAAACTTTAATTTTTGTTAAATTATGGTTTTATATATTTTACAAAAAAATAACATAGTATATCAATACATCTTCAAGGAATCGAATTAATATCGCAGTAAAATGAAAATCCTAATTGAGGTGTATAAACAACATAATTGGAGGTGAGAAAAAGAAAATTAAATAAAAAAATCAATTTTAAATATAAAATGTAAACTTATTTAAGACAAATTCTTGGGATACTTTATCGGTTTTGTGGTTTTAGACATAAAATTAACTAGGCTATTTTAGAAGTAAGTTATAGGCTTTTATAGTAAAGACGCGTTGATCATTTTTGACATTTAAGATATATGCAAAGTAAATGATATATGATAATTTAAACACACTGGCGGCACGCTTGCGGTCCGTACATTATTTAGTATTCCGTGGTCTGCGTTAATGAATAAGAACGAGACATACACAGGTAGAAATAAAAGTATAGTACCAAATCACGCTCCATGTAATTATCTCGGAAAAATAACCTTTAATGACATGGAGGTGACATTTCGGATACTTCCTGTAATTATTATCTACCTTAATAGGATTCCGCCTATAGCTGTGGTGACAATGTTATACCGTAATTGAAATAAATGCGTTGATGCCTGACTTATGGCCGTCATACGCATGTTTTAATTATCTTTTTATTTTAGTAGATTTTTAACAGAGCATCAAAATGATAGAATAATAATCTTAATTTAACATTCAATGTAATAATTCTACATTCATCGAATCTTATATTTAGTTAATACCTTCTGTCAGAATTTCTTCTTTATTTCAAAGAAGTTAGCGGGTGCCAGTTTATTAAGTTGTCATATGTCATGTCGCAAGCTGTCAAATGTCCAATCATTTCACCAGTTTCGCGCGCTTATGTGCCAAAACGTAAAACTTGGCGGTCAAGTGTTTTTGTGAGTTACGGAAATTGGCGAAATCTGTTTTAGTGTTCCTCAATTGAAAATGTATCAGTTTTATTGTAAGTTACAAAAATAAGTTTTTTTGATAAATAACCTTGTCTATGGTCAAATAAATATATTTAATAATAAATAATTATTGATAAAATCTATGAATGCAGCTCGCTAGTAATCATAGAATTTCAGATTTTTCGTTATTGCGACTTAATTTTTGTCACTTGTTTTTATAACGATCAACCGAATAAAGGATAATTGTCTACAGTTTCGACACAAGAGATGGCGTTGACACGCACTGGTCGGATCCAGCTACTCTCGGTTCCAGAGCCTCATTCCGAACCAGCACTACACCAGCATTACTTGTACTTACTAAGATAAGGTAATATTTTTTCTACTAGTTAATAGCTTGTGAAGAATAAGAAACTATGATCTTAGAACATTGTATTGAGTTAATAGAGTTAGTTTACTTTTTAAATACTCGAATTAACAGCTGAAATCAGGAATATATTAATAAGTGCCTGGCAGAAGTAAGAAAGAAAGAAAGAAAAATCTTTATTATAAGATTTTATTATTATCTAGTAGTGCTAGACTAGTGCTTCCTCTATACGAATGAAAACGAAAATCAATATTGGATCTGTTCCGATACTTTATTAACGACACTATCGACATCTTTATATGTTCGCAAAGTAATTTCACGGTAGCTATATTGTGTTTTATTATATTTCATGTTTTAGACATAGTGATATTGTGAATAAATTAAAAAAGTATGTATCGTTAGAGCAGTGTTGGTCTAGTAACTTCAGCGTGCGACTCTCATCCCTGAGGTCGTAGGTACGCACCAATGGACATTCTTTCTATGAGCGCATTTAACATTCGCTCGAACTGTGAAGGAAAACATCGTGAGGAAACTGGCTGGCCTAAGACCCAAGAAGTCGACGGCGTGTGTCAGGCACAGGGCGCTGATTTAACGCTAGTTAAACGGCGCCATTTAATTAAAAGGCTAGGCTGTTAATACAACTTCTTCAAGGACATATACATTATACAACTTCTCGACCCTAGCTACTGAAGCCTTGGAGCCACACAGTGGTAAAACTGCATGAGGATCTCTTTAGGTTGGAAGAAAAGTACACCACCCTTGCTTCAAATGTCTTCTAAATTTTCAGAAGTGTAAACTGCAGCAGACAGTTTTTTTATCGAACTAGCTGACCCGGCAAACTTTGTTTTGCCATGTATATAATTTTCTAGGAAACATTTTTTTTGTTCAATAAAAATAACTATCTACTATAATAAAAAATAGAGGTTGATCGTAGACGGGTGAAAATTAAGGGTTGTATGTATTTTTGTATGCTGAAAAATAGATGTTTGATTCGCAGACCTAACCTATATGAACACAAAATTTCACGAAAATCGGTCAAGCCATTTTTTAGTGAGGAGGAGTTTAATTACAGACAACGTGAGACGAGAATTTTATATATTAGATAAAATTTGATCCTAACCGGAAGTTTATAAAGATCTAGACATTCTATATTTTCCAAACTGAATTCTTTACAAAATAGTAAACCTTAGAACCGCGCTTAGCCCATTATATAACCGCTTTCGTGAGTAAAAGGAAAACATAATACGGAAACCGACACTTCTTAGAACCGCAAATTTGAGAACCTGTCATCTACGAACCTGCATTTGACCTACATTTAACTGAGCTTTAGCGAAAAAGGGGAAAATCCGGATTAATGTCAGCTGGGAGGGAACTGGGAGCGAACTAACTAGTTCTATTTGGCTCGCTAAAATTGAACTGACAGAAATCAACATTATTTGACATTTTTTCTTCTTGTATAGTACATAGATATGTGCCAGGTGGGAAATATATTGATTGATACAATTTTCTCTGTAGTGTCAAATAGACGGTCTAACTAAGACCTGGTTTCTATTTCCCAAATACCAATGGTTGCTAAGACGACTCATAGCAACTGTTACATATTACAAAATAACATGTATAATGCGCTACTGAACTAGCTACGGGTAGGGTGAATATAGAAACTGGACGGTAGAGTTGGGCAAGCGTGCCTGAGTTTACCCAGATCCATATGCTCCAGAGCTGATGCTGTTGAACTATGATATGATATGACAAAGTAACTTACATGAAACCCCTTTGTTAATCTTATAAAAACTGTGGCTTTGTTAGCAAAGTTCGTAAGATTCCCGGCCTAATAATAACTGTTTTCAGTTGATTGGCACACAAAAGTAAGTGCAACTAGCATAACATATACCAACTAACTAGCATAACATATACCAAAATATGTACGATTTTTAACTAATTTTTTTTGTCATTGTGCCAATACGTACTAGGCGTTTAATTAGCAAAATGTATTTTTCCAGAAATATGTCAAAATTACCAAAAAGATGTACGATTTTTTTTATTAATTTTTATGAATTTACAAGTTAAACCAAAAGAATTATACAATAGGTACAAATTCGAATGCGTAATACCATTTTCAAATATTTTATGGAGTTAATACTTATCATACCTTTATGAAGTCGTGTCCTTCTACGACGGTTGCTTATTCACACTGCATGGTTCTTCTTTACATATAGATGAGAACAATGATGATGATGAATAAATCTTGAGCTGTCTGTGTCTGTGTGGTGGTGTGTGTGCGTTTTTGCAATTACACGACGGCTTAGTGAAAAAAAAAAAAAAAAGTAGATTTTTTTTTCTCTTAGTTAAAAAGTAGATTTAAATTACATTTAAAGTATTGGTTATTTTACTTATCTTAACACTTTTTTTCACCAGACCTGAAGACAGCGGTCAGTATAGATGTAGGGTTGACTTCATAAAGTCACCTACCAAGAACACAAGGCTCAACCTCACTGTATTGAGTAAGTAGAACCTTTGTTTACTATATGATATATGTTTACTATATCGTTCCACTATGTGAACCAGCTGCCCACTGAAATATTTCCGTACCAATTCGACTCAAACAAAGTACAAAGAAATCAAAGACCATAATTCAAACAAAGAAATCAAAGAGCGCACCAGTTCTTAAAGGGTCGGGAAAGCACTTGCTTGCCCTCTGGCAATGTGAGTGGTCCATAGGTGGCGGTATTACTTAACATCAGATGAGATAGATTTTGTATGTATGTAATGGAGGTTGCAATCCTTGTACAAAATTAAACGTATTTTTAATTTATTTTTCTATTCCGTCCGTGAAAATTATGATGATTTTGATTTTCTGATTCAATTAAATACTGTAAATATAAATTGTACTCTCACGCTTGAAACGTCTTATTCATGAAATCTAATAATCTCTTGAAAAAGTTTTTTTTCCTGAAGGAATTTATTTCGCAATATTAATTGTACTTGTACTTGTACTTGTAATTTTACTTTAAATTGTTGAAAATATTAATTATTCAACAGTACCTCCGGAACGGCTAGTGATACTGGACCAAGATGGAGAAGAGTTCCGTGGTGGGGCAATGGGGCCTTTCGATGAAGGGACCAGAGTCAATCTTACTTGCGTGGCTATTGGTGGTGAGTTATATTGAGATAGACTATAGTATGTGCGCTGTAGCTTTCAATTGGATTTTATTTCATTTCACTCTTGAAAATTAAGCAACTGTCACCTGCAACTGTCAACTGTCACTATGCTACAGCACACATACTATAGTGAAGGAAATTTATAGGAAATTCTTGTACGCCCTTATTTGTGTATTTGTGTGTTATTGCACAATTTTAATGTACTATTTTGTCTCTTTCGTTCACATTCTATTTCCGCTATGAGTATATTTTATGAAAAAGAACAGACCAGTGCTTATGTTAATACAGTGTAAATGGAGATATTTACTTTCCGTCCGTACTTGTTTGTATGTCTGCATGTATTTCTTGTAGGTACTTCTACGTTTAAGAGTTTTGTATAAATTACAACTATTTTTTTAACATTCACAAGTCATTGCATAATACACTCTGTAAACTTAATTTGGCGCCATATTTATCTTTGATACATTCAAATCATAGAATTGAAACCAATAACAATGACATGAAACATCAGTTATCTGTAAATACAGTCCTTGGTGTTTGTTCATAGGTCGCCCCGCAGCTAGAGTATCGTGGTGGCAGTCACACGCACTCTTAGCCAACTCTGAGTCGAGGGCATCCGTCTCTTTCACACTACAGAGAGATTTGTATCCTGCAACTCTCACTTGCCAGGTAAGTTTTCGTAAAATTGATTGTATAAAAAAACGTCAAAAGTCTTACCCACAGACTTTTGTATACGTTTGGTGATCATTTTTAATAGGCAAAGAGGTGATCAGCATTCTATGCCTGAACAGAGCCGTCGAACATTTGGGTCTTAGGTATGCCATACGATGTTTTCCTGCACCATACGAACATTACATAGAAATATCCATTGCAGAACAGGCGTGATTCGAACGCGCTGTCGCAGAGTTGAGAAATGTACAAGCCAATTACTTATCCATAGCTAAGTAATTAATACATTTATTTATTCCAAATTACACATCACAAATGTAGGACAAAAAAGTTATAATTATATAAGTATCCTTAACAGAAAAAAAAATGGTTTATTAAACTAGAGAAGAAAACACATCTAAAACAAACAGAATCAAAAAAGTTTTCACTAGAAATTGGTATCGTAAAACAAAACAGATTCTGACAAATGAATTGTTCGAATAAAATACTATACTACAAATTGTATGGAAATTCGATTTGTTCGAGCTGTCAAAAACTGATATTATTGCAAAATATACTAGCGTTTGCGTAGACAAAATGAAACTATGAAGTTCGTGCTCCTCAGCTCATTTCTAAAAACGTGCAACACTCGTACCCATTTTAACAAAACCCGCAAAGAATTATAAGCCTTATGCACTTCTGTAAACGTCGCTTTTCCTATGTTAAAATAGTTCTACGCGTCATTTTAATAAGCTTGAAACGAACCCTATAAGACACCCCATTGCGACAAGGTCAAGCGTTTGCCCTTTCTAGACCACCCCATGAACAAAAAATCTGTGAAATGACCCAACGTGAATTACGCTTAGATGGCTTAATCTGATTGAATAGCTCTGAGCACTATGCCGTCATTTCTGAGCGGTACATGTGGGTACGTGAGTGAATGGACTTTCTCATGTACAATGGGGGAATTTCGACTAATTATTAAAGTACGGCTTTGTTATAAGTGTATAGATGATTAAAAATAAATGTCGGAAAACCTAGTGCCGTACAAAATATGGTGCCGGAAGTCGGTGCAAATTTTTAATTCGACGACAGTTGCAGGAGCAATATAGGTATTTATTACTGTACGGCATTTGTGTCATTCCTTTTGGACACATATACAGATACTTTACCCGTAAACGCCGTACATATTCCCAGCGGAGCGGTCGAAAGCCAAGGGTCGCAACATATGTCTGATTAGCATATAGTGATATGATATGAATCAACATAAAATTAAATGATCTTGAGAGTACTTCACAAATAGATAACATTTTCCACATGTACATTTTTGTGGAACACATAGGTGTATGGGGCAAATTCTCAAAAAGAGTCATTTTGGTGACTTTTATCTGTACGGCAATAAACAGGTTATTAATACTTTAGACAATCTTCAATAAAAGATAAATGCCTACACTTTCGATAGTCCGCTACCACCGCCTACAATACAGGGCGTCCCAAAGTTATGGGAAATGAAGGGAAAGTACCTTAAATATCGTGGATAGGGTATTTTACTAAAGAGAAGACTTTATGTTATTTTTAAAAGTTATTAATTCTGCATTCAAAGATTTTTAAAAATTACTTGCCTGTTGGGAATCGAACTGACTTAAATGTAAAAAACACCCCTACTTTTATGATGCCAATCGAAAGAATGGCCAAAAACTAATAACTCTTCTTAAGTAACATAGTATTTTAAAAGAAAGGAACAGCGTGAATATATCTTTTAATCAAATTAAAAACATTATCTATCGTATTCGGCCTAAAAATCCCCACTCCTCTGTTACTTTAGAAAAGTTATTAGTTTTGCCATTCTTTGATTGGCATCATAAAAGTAGGGGTTTTTTTTAATTTAAGTCGGTTCATTTCCAGACGAGGCAAGTAGTTTTAAAAAATCTTTGAATGCAGAATTACTAACTTTTATAAATAACATAAAGTCTTTTTTAGTAAAATACCCTATCTGCGATATTTAAGTTTTCCCTTCATTCTCATAACTTTGGGACGCCCTGTATTATATATTTTTGTTAAAAATATTTTTCCTTTACTGTGTCATGATAAGCTGTAAATATACTTTCAGCCTTATGTAGATACTCAGATATTACAGTTATTAATGACCTTAGGGACACCTCAAACGTCGTCGAAGTTTTTATCAGCTGTAAAGAATAATTGGAGTAAAATGTACGCATCTGGTTTTTTTGTTTATTTATATTTGTTACATATAAAATAAAATAATCTTTGAAAATATTACTCCCCATATTACTCTAAATTTGAAAATATCTAAATTTCAAATTTCATATATTTTTATCATAATATTTTTATTTGTTACATTTATAATGAACGCTATAATGTAAATAATATTTAGTAAATTATTAAAAAACAAGTTGCGTACATTATTTCTGATCTTAAATAAAATTTGTAAATCCTAAATTTGATAAATATTTAATTAACAAATATTAACTATATTATTTGGACGCATAATTATAAAAATTATTTCCTGTTAAATAATATTTTGAAATGTTGCCGTACATTTTACAATACCTTAGGGTATATGGTGTAGGGGTAGGGTTCCGACCTTGCTTTGACCGCTCCGCTGGAAATATGTACGGCGTTTACGGGTAAAGTATCTGTATATGTGTCCAAAAGGAATGACACAAATGCCGTACAGTAATAAATGACCTATATTGCTCCTGCAACTGTCGTCGAATTAAAAATTTGCACCGACTTCCGACCTCACTTTTGTACGGCACTAGGTTTTTCGACATTTATTTTTAATATTATACACTTATAACAAAGCCGTACATTAATAATTAGTCGAAATTCCCCATTGTAATGAGAAAGTCCATTCACTAGTACTCAATGTACCGCTCAGAAATGACGGCATAGTGCTTAGAGCTATTTTCAGATATAGTAACAGCCTTCTAAGGTAATTCAGGTTGGGTCATTTCACAGTATTTTTTGTTCATGGTTTGGTCTATTTCTAGTATCTTAGGTACAGACAAGATCCGAAACTGAAAGCAACAACTACTTTAGGGTCACAAGTCAAAAATTAAAAGCAATATGAAGAACTAGTACTTTTCCTTCTTACCAATATATATTTTATTTCAAATAATCTCTACAATCTACAAACATACATAATAGAACAGAGTTGGCATAAAGTCTTCAGCGTGCTACTCTCATCCCTGGACCAATGGACTTTCTGTCTATATGCACATTTAACACTCGGTGACGGAAATTGTGAGGAAATCAGCATGACTTATACCCTAAAATTTGACGGCGTGTGTCAGGCACATTAGGCTGGTCACCTACTTGACTATTAGAAAAAACAAATGATCACGAAACATACAGATGTATTGTATATAAATAAGATTAGCATGTTATAAAATTTTATTTGTGAAATTCAGAAATGTTTGAGAATAAAGAAAACCGGCGTAGCAGTTATAACTAATATAATTCTTGCTACGCGTTTTTTTCATTTATTCATAAAAACTTAATTTTTCATATTAAGTATTAAGATTACTGTCGAACTATAATGACGTTACAGAACATAACAAAAATGGGAAATAAGCCCTGCAGCGACCTCAAATCCCACGACGTTTGACGTCACAGACTACGATGCACTGTGACTTGCAGATAAGCTAAGCCTAGCTTAGTATGGCAATGTTACTTGTAGGCAAACGTTGAGAGATTGCCTACAAGTAACTGTTGCTATCACTCTTTTATTTCTGTGGTTATTATAACTCTGTTCCAACCAAATCAAGATTTCTTTCGAGTGATATTCGTCTAATAAAGCAATGATTCGACAATTATTAAAGAATTTCGATGAATCTTTATCTATTTTTTATAAACAGGCTGTCACTGACCCTTCGATATCACCGCTGTCGGAAAACATCACTATTGATATGAATCGTAAGTCTATCTTGAATATAATTAAATATGGATTATAACGGATTACATTGCACATTTAATGTTTTCTATTTCCTATATACATACAAGTTTCGATATTTAATGAAACCATTATTTATTTATTAAAGTTACACAAACTATAAAGAATGTGTTATTATTATAGATGCGGCGTGCACAAACATAATGCTTATGGTATTATAAATTAATTTACAAAAATACAAAAAAAAAAACTATATTTACACTAGTGGACCCCCCCCCCCCCCGGGAAAAACCCCCCCCCCCCAAAAAAACAAAAAAAAACAACAAAAACAGGCCCCGGGGTTCGCACATACACCCCATTTACAAATAATACCATTATGGTTACCAATAAAGGAGATATGTTTTTTTAATAATTAAGATTTTTTAAATATTTATTTGTACATACTTACCATACATATTTGTACTGTGTTTTAAATTGAGCTGCAGTACAAAAATATAAAAGTTTTTACATGTTTTTAAGCTTTTGGTTTTCTGATATAATTTTATTTCGTTATTTTCTTGCAGTATATCCTCTATGGGTGCGTATAATTGGTGGTGCCAGACCGCTGGTAGCGGGAAGAGCGGTGGAAATAATATGTCAAGCAGTTGGCGCTCGTCCTCACCCTACAATATCATGGTGGAAGGGGGCTACTAGACTCCATACTATTCGGGAAAAGGTAAAATTACTAACAAAGTATAAAAAATTAACTAGTAGAACGCGTCGATAAGTAGATAAATACTTCAAAATAAAACATTTATTGTATTGTGTTTTAAAAATTAATATTAAAATTTTGTGTTAATAATTAAAAATCATTAATTTAGTAGAGGTAGCATAAAACCCTGAGTAATTATTATGTGCATTCATACATAATATTTTGACTATAATGACACCTATATAGTGGTACCTATAGGCTATATAAGGGTTGTTCTATAATAAAAGGTTTTTCGTCTATGGAGGAGACGGCTAAGGAGAAAAGTTGGAGTTTTTTCATTATACATATATATTATGACTTCGGGCCTGTTTATGTATCTACTCACGGAAGGGCAAGTTACTTAAAACATATTTTGTCACTTTTTAGAGGGCCAGGGTAAATACATCAGGCAGGGTAGAGACATGTAGATACGTATTTGACCAGGGGAGATAATTAGAAGCAATAAAACAAAGAATACAATTTAAATAATCAACTTTTATTAAAGGTTGTTCTTGAAACTTAGGCAACATTTTTTATCATATTTATTATTAATCAGACTAGGTATCATTTTAATTATTAATCAGACTAGGTATCGTATTACTCATAAATCAGACTTTCAATAATTATTCCTAAATAATTCTATACTACCTAACTAGTCTTCTTTTTAGTGGTACCTATAGGCTATATAAAAATGTGCAACATAAATTAGTATTGTTCTAGAATTGTTCAAACATATCTTTTATTTTTTTTAACTTCAATAAAATGTTATGTGTGACAGTAACAAAAATTAACGGGGAATAGTAAAAACTCACGAAGCACACTCAGCTCCATATAATTCGCCCGCTATAAAACATACACATATTTTATTGCGGACCTTAATAAAAATTTGAATATCGTAAACAAAATCATTTGCCCTACAGAATTATGCATTTTCATTGTATAATACTATAAAAGCTATTTTTGAGCTGGCCTCACTCTAAGCAGACTTGACCTAGATTTTACCACTGAAATCTAGATTATTTTCTTCGCTAAGCTCTAAATTACTATTAAGACTTGAGAAAAAGGGCAGTTTTTCTATGCCACTTTGAGACGATGAAAACGTGGAAAGTGCTGGAAATTTGAGCTAAGATTAATGTGTGGCTGTTTTATATGTTGTACATTTTAAATAGTTGTTATTAACATATTACTATGCGTGACTTCGTCCGCATAGTATTTATATATATTATACTAACGTTCTTATATGGAAACTAGCTGACCCGGCAAACGTGTTGCCAAGTATCTTATTTCTAGGAAACATTTTTTTATTTCAATAAAAATAACTATCTACTAAAATAAAAAATAGGAGTTGATAGTAAAGGGGTGAAAATTAAGGAAATTAAATTAAAAAAATTAAAATATTGAAAATTAAAAAAATACAACCAAAAAATTTTGTCTAAAAACAATTTAGGGGTGGACCCCCTTAACATTTAGGGGGATGAAAAAAATATGTTGTCCGATTCGCAGACCTAACCATATCGGCACACGAATACGGTCGATCCATTTCGGAAGAGTTTTATTACAAACACCGTCCAAGACCTAGCCAAGACCTAGCCAAGATATGATTGTTTTCTGAGGTTAAAGGACCACACCCAGTTCTTTAATGTTAAAGATTTTTTTTAATTTATTTAAGATGGCTTGATTTACTGCCTTGTGGCAGAGTGTAACCTTTTGCCATCTTAACTTATATAAAGTTCGATAAACAAGCTTCGATAATAATGATATTCATTAAATAAGTATTTAAAATTACATACATACATTTGCATATAATAAAGGCACGATCTGATTGGATATTTGGGAAAATATAAAAACCCTAATTAATATTTTTATTTATGATAATGAATAACTAATTAAGAGATTCGCCGATAAAAGTTTACAATAAAAATCTGGTTTTATTTGAGTAATAATTAATATTATTTCGATTAATACTCAAAAATAACTTATACGCTTATTTATATACAGTTGACCTCTCAAACCTTTTATTTACGATTTTATGATTGCCGTATGATAATCGTTCGTGTAATTTTGATTACATAGGCTGCACTAAAAGTATCGGGAATGGAATAATACCACTGTTCCTGTCATATTTAAATCTTTTTAATTGAAAACTCCTTTTTTTTTAAATCGATTACCATTTATTTTTTTTAAAAAAGATTCTCGGTCTTTTCACAAAGTTTTGTCAAACTTGTTTAGTCGTTGAGAAAATGGAATTGACTCGAGAAAATTCAATGCAATGGTTGCTTCAATGATTGGTTCCATCGTATGAAAAATGTGTCAAATTTCGCGGAGAATACTTCGAAAAGCAATAAATACATTTTTAAATAGTAATGTTGTGTCACTTCCTTGATTCCCGAAATTTTCAGTGCCGCCCTCGTAGTACCTGGGCAAAAACATATACCCTTATCTAAAGTCCTAACATACATTTATTAAAAATATGTCTTAACAACTGGTTACTAATGTTAACTTCTATTATTTAAAATAAACAATAAATTATGTATATTTACTATATATTTAATACAGTAGCCATTTGATTAAAATTAAACTTATTAAACAGTAATTTCTAACCCAATACTAAAAGCTCCGAAGCCCGATTCGCTACTACTAAAGTCTACTTTTAATTGGAGCTTTAATTTGACCTTTGGACTGAAACTTGAAATAATTATTAAAAATATCCTCGCCATACAATTAATCCTATATTTGAGCTCACAACTCTATTGCTAGAGTCTATGCGGAAAGAACACCGGCGCCCATATAATTCTTATTTGCTACGCGTAATTCATCTACAACAAATACTTTTCACGTTAAAGTCAAATCATTTATTTCAATTAGGCCTATATATAAGGCACTTTTGAAAGGAAAAATTACAAGTTAATAAATATTAAAAAAAAAAATGACTAGTTGCCCCATCCAAAAGGTAGTTTCATATGGCGTAGAATGGGCAAGAAACAAAATAAATAAAATATGTTTATTATGGAACATAAGATACATGTATCACTTATTCCACGTCATTAAATTTGAACTTTTAGGCATCCCTACTCATCGGCAAAGAAGACAGAGGGTGTAGGCCGAGAGAAAAAGCCGGCGTAAAAAACTCTCGGTACTCTTTTAAAACAGCAAATCATCAAACAACACTTATTTAAAACAACTCCATACTAACTCTTTTAAAATAGTTTTTAACAATATTTTGTATACATTGATTTGATAATTATATGTACCTAGAATAAAAAATCTACTATAAGTATTTATATTAAAGCGATTACTATTTAACTATACTGTGTGCGAGAATCATTTTATGATTGAATATACTCTTAAGCTAACTTACTATGTATATAATATTTAGAAAAATATTGTAACGAACACAATAATAACCATATGTACTTATGATTGTGTACATAGATTATTATTATAATTAAAATGACGTATCAGTGTGGTTAACATAAGAAAAAACAATTTAGCACTGTTCGACCTCATATGCACTACGCGACGGTTCCCTTTGCACTCAGACTATCTCAGACTTTTCAAAACCAAACATATTTTCGTTCAAGAACCGCGACCCTTTCTATATTATATATTAAATAGAGCAAGCAAATAGCGTAACTTTCAATGAAATACACAAAAACTATAGATCACGTCGCTTAATTGTGATTGGTCTAGAAATACTATTGACGAATCAAAATGAGGCGCTACGTTTCCTTGTTTTAAAACTGTATTCTAGAAATAGAAAGAGACATTTTCCTTAATAGCTTACCCTGGAATAACGTGTATTTAATCTTAATCTCAAAGTAACTGGACACACAAGATTGATCGCCTGTGTACACCCAGCGCATCAATCGCATTTTAATGAAACCTCCAAGGATTTTATTTATACTAGCGATTTTTCTATGTGGAAGCTAAATTCATGAATTGTCAGATATTGTGTTTGAAACGTTTTTAAATGAATATTCTGTTTTGGTTCTAAAGCTAGTAGAGGGGAAACAAGGATTAGATTTGCTTTGTTTATTGTGTTCAGTCCACGCCATAACAAAGCTATCGTATGTCAAATTCTAAAAAAATGCAAAATCTATCAGAGAACACACGCAACTATTGACTTGACAGCTTGTTTATCTATAGAAAAATAAATATAGTTAAAAAAAACTAAAAAACACGCTTTTAAAGCACATCAAACTAAAAAGTGAAAAATAATTCCTAATTTAGGCTGAAAATGGTAATGAACAAAAAATACTGGTATTATTGTGAAAAAGCGTGGGTTGCTCGATAGACGAAAAATATGGCACAGGGCGCCCATTGATGTGCTTTAAAAGCGTGTTTTTTAGTTTTTTAAAACTATATTTATTTTCCACTTTTTAGTCCTAGCAGCAATACGTGTTGCCTCAATTTAATCGTATTGCTTTGTGGACTTAAAAAAAATTTAATTGTTTTTTCGAGATAAACCTATGAAATTATTATATTGTCGCTAATTCTTTATAAGTGTACAAAGTTTGAATTAAATCTGTCCGTTTAATGTGGGTCATCGAGTCCGAAGGAGTCGGTTACATACATACATACATACAGGTGAAGCTAATATAAAGCGTGTAAAAAGAGATTACTGCGATAAGCCAGTTCGTATCGTTACTTATTATTAGATATGTGTATTGTATAAGTCACGTGTGGAGGAGGGATGGTGTACTATTCCTGCAACCTAAAGGAAGGATCCTTGACCAGTCTCAACACTGACTCTCCGGCCCGAAGGACCCAAAAAATATATCCGAAAAATATCATCACTCCATCAATATTGACATCATCATTCGGATTTAGTGCTAGCACAAAATACAAGCAGCTGGTTCAGGGCACCGATTTTAATCACAAGCTACTAGCCCCAGTCCAACGTCTCATCATCACAACGCTCCACTGAATATGAGAACTGTCTTCCGTTTTCTGAACGCACTGTCCGAAGTCAAGATGGCGCCTCGACCGATATTCATACAATATTCGTACTTTTATTCGTTAAGATATGATTTTAAACTATAATACAATTAAATAATAACAAAACAAATCTAATCAAAATAAATTATGATTCCTAAAAGTAGAAGAAATCTAACTCATTAATAAAATCAACAATAAAGATCAACGGTCAATTGACTCGATCATAACATCATTACATTTCCTTACATATAAATTTTTTTTAACTAAACAAATTGTATTCAAACACAAAGCCCTGTAAACCCATATCGTAATACGAGTTCTTTTCTAGATATCACCCGACGGCAACGTGACAAGTAGTATCTTGAGCATAATACCGACAGTCGAAGATTCGGGTCGAATAATCTCATGCAGATCTGTTCAGCAGAACCTGAAGCATTCCGTTCGAGAAGATGGATGGAAGATGGAGATACAACGTAAGTCAGCATCCTTATTCAACGTCTGCGTTTCATTTCTGCAAAAAAAAACTCGTATTAATAAAGCCTAAGCAGGTACATCAAAAACCTTTCAAATAAATTTGAATCTACCCTCTCATTTCTATTTTTATATTTGCTACGATATATCCATGCACACACAAGACGCAGTTTATTTATAATTGAAAAGGAAAATGTAAATCTTAAAAAAAAATCATCTTAATAATAACATTCAAAAAGATCAATGAAAATTCTTGAAATTCAATAACACTTCAAACGAGTCTTTCAAATATAGAGCCAATTTGTGTATTTCCTCAATTGGATTTTAATTGGAATATTGACCTTCAAACGTCTTGTGGTATCAAAATTTCTATTGAAATGCGATACTGTACAACTAATTGGTCATAAAAATGTTCGTAAGTGTATCATTAAAATTTTCTATTTATATTTTAGATTTTACTTTGATATTGATATTGTATATCAATAATTATACTGTATAATTTTTTTAATAATGACTTGTGTTTACTAACTTAAAGCTCATATTGCTGAATATTATATACCTTACCTAGTGGCTCAGCATGCCACTCATACCTGAGGTCGTAGGTTCGATTCCCGGCTGTGCACCAATGGACTTTATTTCTATGTGAGCATTTAACATTTACTCGAACGGTGCAGGAAAACATCGTGAGGAAACCGACATGTCTTTGACCCAAAAAGTCAACGGCGTGTGTCAGGAACTGGAGGCTGATCTTGCCTATTAGATTTAAAAATGATCATGAAACAGATTCAGAAATCTGAGGCCAAGACCTTTTTTAAACTTTATATAAATATTATAACTTATAAAAGTTATATTTAGTCAGTAAGTTAGTTATAAGCTGTAAATTTTTCTCAATTAATAAACTAAATCATAATCCGTAGGTTTTGAAGTTTATATCGTTTTACAGACATAACCAGGACTGTTCGACTATCTAGTATTAAGTTTGTAACAAATAAGTAATGATTAAAGTTCTGAAGTAAAAATAACAAACCAAATTAATTTATGAGTACGTAAGTGTAATAAAGAGTCTTGTGTTTTTAGAAGAATACTTGAAAGGGTTTTGAAAGTTACAGAAAATTTGCAAAGTTCAATAGCGATAATGCTGTAAAATTAATATTTCGATTTTAATTTTATTTATACTTATATTATAAAAAGGAATTACACAGAAAAGGATTACAAAAAAAGGATACAGTATATAATTTTCATAATGCTAAATATTCCCCAAGTAGCATATGCTATATTTCCAACATATTTAATATTAGGTCCTTACAAATGAAATTGGCGTTTTACGTTTTGGCCACTTTGACCTGAAATATCTCCTCTTTGGTTAAGAATTCCAAATTAAAATTTGTACAGCTATTTACTCATGTATTTGTGCTTCGATGACCGTCATTCATTTGTTTTTTCTTTTTTTTTCTGTTTGCGTCATCATTTTACAAAATGGAAAACTTAAAGTATGCATTATTTACGAGTACGAGTTCCCCGTGGCACTAGTGCTGCGGAAACACTCGAAGGGTGAATGATGTGTATGGCGGTCATGTTGCAAAAGAAAACAAGTTCGTTTTTGGTTCCAACGTTTTCGTTCTGGAAATTTGACCTGCAGAACAGCCCGTGGACGGCCTGAGACCCAAGTTGATAATGAAGTATTGAAGGCTATTGTGGAAGCGGATCCATCGCAAACCACTCCGAGTTAGTGCAGGCTGGGTGTTAGTGATAAAACTGTTATAATTCACTTGAAGCAAATTGGAAGATTAAAAGTTGAAAGATGTACTCAGAATTGACTGAAGCAAACCGGAAACGGGTCGACTGCTGCGTTACATTACTGAACCGGCACAATAATGAAGGTATTTTAAACCGAATCATTACCTGTGATTAAAAATGGATTCTTTACGATAATGAAGCCTCAGCGATGGTTGGATCCTGGAGCAGCCAAATCCTCCCAGCGAAAATTAACCCCAAAAAGTTACTTGTAAGTTTGGTGATAGTGCCGGTATTGTTTTGATTTTCTCAAATTGAGATATTAGGTGATGTCTATTGTAGTAATGAAACATGATGGAAAAGTAGCGCTAAACAACCTAGGCTGGTAATGTTCACGCCACTGTACTTCACGAAAGTAGACCACACACTAAACAGACGGCTACCAAATTACAAGAGCTTAATTGGAATGTCTAAGACATCCTCCGTACTCCGGACCTTGCTCCAACAGATTACCATTTTTTTCGAAATTTGGACTTCTTGCAAGGGAAAAAATTTAACTCTGATGGGGCAGTCCAAATCGCCTTCACAGATTTTATTGATTCCGTCGACTGTTTTTTAGTAAAGGGATCAATGAACTACCTATGAGATGGCAAAAGTGCATAGAAAACAATGGTTCATACTTTGATTAATTAAATATATTATATTTAAAAATATTCGACTTTTTGTTCCTCCCATACAAAACGCCAATTTCATATGTAAGGACCTAATATAATATATGTTGTACGATGCTGCTCGATTTATTTAAACCCTGTTCAGGTAGTGTATATATCAATAATATACATATCAATCGTATTAATACATCCATCCTGTTTATATTACAACATATATTTTTTTTAAATTGAACACTAAACACAGTTCATGCGTTCTTAGAAAAAATCCAAAGAACTGCTTACTAGAGTGTCTAATTATTCCTGTTCTCAAATAAGAAGCGCTCATCTTAAAACAGTTGACCTGATTTTGATTTAATTAAATTCCTCTTGCGCTGTTAAGTGATGCTTTTGTTTTTATAGTACCTTAAAATGACTTGAGACTAGATAGAAAATTCTTTTAAGGAGATATCCGAAATAAATTTCATACAAAAATAAGTTTACAATTCATTTTTAAAGATTTTAACACAAATATTTAGTAGGTACCTACAGATTAAGAAAAGAATTGAGTCCTATAGAAAGTCTAACTAGAAGCCGATCACTAAGAGCAGTGTTGGCCTTGTGGCTTCAGCGTGCGACTCTCATACCTGAGGTCGTAGGTTCGATCCCCGACTGTGCACCAATCTTTTGATTAGCGCATTTAACATTTGCTCGAACGGTGAAGGAAAACATCGTGAGGAAACCGACGTCCGACACCTCTTAGTCCCAAAAAGTCGACGGCGTGTGTCAGGCACTGGAGGCTGACCTACTTGCCTATTAGATTTAAAAATTATCATGAAAACAGATTCAGAAATCTGAGCCCAAGACCTAAAGAGGTTGTAGCGACACTGATTTATTTTTTTGTATTTTTTAAAAGCCCATCACTTGTATAAAAATAATATTTCTCAAGTAAAAGAAATCTGAATCAAGACTTTAACTAAGTGTTATCGGTTTTATATAAAATCGGTAAATATTGTCTATTAATGTCGTAGCAATTATATAGTCTGTGTTGCCAAAATTACGATTTCCCGACAAAACTAAAGTGATTTAAGCGAAATTGTACAGAATTTAGGCGTTTGTGTCATACATGTCTTTGTCAGTCAGTTCACAAAGGCTTTATACAGAGAACTCTTTGGCAGCATTTGAATGATGTAATTTAAACGGTTGATAAAGGCAGAGTCTTAAATGTTATTAACATTTTAAATAACTTGTTTATGTATTAAAAATTACTTATGCCTTCATGTACCATGCATTTGTTTCAGTACTGCTAACAATTTGATTTTTTGTTTCTATTTAAAATATTTATTACTTAACGTTTCAACTATAATCTCGAAATAAAAAGCTTTTGTTACTACAAACAATAGTAACACTAACGACTTAATTAATTTTATTCTGTATTTATTAAGTCTAAAGCCATATAAAACCTCATTCAATTTCTCCTTTGCTACAGCTTCGAAATAAATCTGTGATAGAAAAATAAAATATATTGCATGAGCTTGTAAACGGAAATTGCTATTTCTATTTAAATTATAAATCGATTGAAATCCAAGTTTTTACCTCGAAGTTCTGCGATAAATAATTTTTATATTAAAGACAAGTATGTGATGCCTGATATGCCTGACACGTCTTTGTTTCTTGGGTGTCATTACAAGGTTTCCTTCACCGTACTAGAAAATGTTAATTGCGGTTATGGAAAAAAACTATACTCACAGCCGGGCCCGTAATATATTTTAAGGATTGTGAATCGAAGAGATAAATTTAATATAACTTTTAATCTAACCAATTTTAATTGAATCGCAGATTATAGTAAGTAGGTGTAACATATGTTTCATAATTTAAAGATACGACCATGACCCTTTTTTAAGAACCCAAATGAATACATTGACATGTCATATTTAGTTAAATTATACTCACTTTTGAAGCGCCATTTTATTAAGTTCTTTTCAGTTTTTAGTTTCTTTAAAACATCAGAATTAATGTTATTTAAACTTTTCATTGTTGAAATTTTATCGCTCACAGATGAAGTCAGTATATAACATATAAAACAGCGCTCATCTAGAAGTACGCTGATGTTTCATCCACCCTTTCGTTGCTAATATCCCCCGGTGCCATACTGCACGATTTGGTTCGCGTTTCTTATAAATACAGCAAAGGCGTGGAACTCTTGGCCCCTTCCATCTTCCTTAGACAGTATAATATGGGTTCATATAAGCGGCGATTAATTAGCATCTTCTGGACAAGTGTGTTCTCGAATAGGCCATATCTCACTTAACATCAGGTGGGATTGTGGCAGTCTGTCCAGTTCTGCATTAAAAAATAAAAGCATAGTTTCATAATCTTTGTTGCTAATCTAACTTTTTGTCCGTAGATGTACCCATACCGAAACTTAAGTTGGGTGCCAATTTAGACCCTGACAATATAATGGAGGGGTCGGACGTGTACCTGGATTGTGACGTGCGATCGAGGCCGGATCATGACCACGTATATTTTACATATAATGTGAGTATGCTATGCCGGTTGCAGGAATTTAAATATTTTTCCTAGTGATTTTTCTTATAATTCGTGTATTTACCTTTTATATTTTCTTGTCTTTATTGCTCTTTTGACTGTAGGTATTGCATGAGTCGTGAATAAGCTTTTTGTAAAAAAATAGCAAATACTAACTGATACTTTTAATAATGGCTTAAAATCACCGGTCAATCATTAAATACAATAAATTAGATTCTTGCTAAAACAAAAATTTGTTTCATAAAGGCAATAAGAAAGTTATCAATCAAACTGGCCCAGAGGGCTTACACTGAACGATATTTTACAACGAAAGAACACAGTGGCAACACAGTTTTAATATAAGGTAATTATTTTTTAATCTAGGGGGTGATTGTAAAAGGCAGCGGTGGAGTGCTCGTGTCTCGTCAGAGCTTGGTGCTACAGGGTGTTTCGAGACAGCGAGCCGGAGCATATGTGTGTGTTGCACGGAATTCGCTTGGGGAGGGCAGCAGTGATCCATTACATCTTGATGTTAAATGTAAGTTTTATCAGTTGTTTTAAATGTACTTTTTAAATTATTGGAAGTAAAACTCGATGTAAAGCATCATGACAGATGAATTTATAATCGTATCTTTTAAAAATATAAAGCAGAATCGAATCTTCTCGACGCAGCTAGAAATTATAACTAAAAAATATTTATGACCTGATAAATAGGTATATACTGTATATAGGTGCGCAGACGAAACGATGAAATGTTTCGTTCGATTGGTCAACAAATCTAGTCCAGACACGCGACGCGATCCGCCTTTCTGTTTGACGTATCAAAGATGCAAATATATTCGTAGTAATATCTATAACAGAAAACTTAAGGCCTCTGTAATGTTTTAGGAAATGTGGTTTTTAATTAAATATTGAAGAATTCCTAACGAAATTTATAAGATTTTACGCTAAACCGCCTCTTAATCAAAGTTAGGTGAATCAAACTTCCAAGTTCACGCGTGAACTTAATTTATGAGATCACTAATCCACCCCGCGTTGGTAAAAGCTTTCATGACGCTCGCCGCGACCAGAATATTAAGTGTGGTAAAATGTTGAAAATATTACTTTTATGGCTGGTTGCTGTGCCTTGCCTTAGCAAGGTACCAGTAAAACAAGTAACCTTACCTCCTCAAACAAAATAAACCTCACAGTTCTAGACGGTGTCTTGTCTCGTTCTATAAAAAAAAAAAAAAATTCTTTAACTAATTGAAGCATGAATTAAGAATTTAGTCATTTATTTAATTTTAAACGAATGATGTGTCGTATAGGGATTAAATCTTTAATTCCAAAATATGAACACATAGTTTTGAAAACATAGGTTTAGGTTTTTTTACTTTAGTTGTATTAAGTATAATTATAAAAGTTAATTTTAATAATAACTAGTGTTCAATACTATTGCACGGCTGGATAATTATTTTATTAAACATGTAATAGTTTAGATATATGGTATCATAAACTTTTTGTCAATATTTATTTCCTTTTTAAAACTGTAATACATCACTTTGCTCTATTGTTAATAGTTTCCACAGCTTACGCAATATCGGGATTTTGTATTTGTATTTTTACATAGGGTTACTTTTGAAAATATTCTATCGATATGCTAAAAAATTATTTCAAAAAGTTCATCCGAGATAATGTAGGATTCTAATAGTAAAATAAATATAGTTTAAAAAACTAAAAAACACGCTTTTAAAGCACATCAAACTAAAAAGTGAAAAATAATTCCTAATTTAGGCTGAAAATGGTAATGAACAAAAAATACTGGTATTATTGTAAAAAAGCGTGGCGCGCTCTGTGCCATATTTTTCGTCTATCGAGCAACCCGTGTTTTTTAGTTTTTTTTAACTATAAATAAATAAATTTCATTGTTTTTTCGAGATAAACCTATGAAATTATTATATTGTCGCTGATTCTTTATAAGTGTACAAAGTTTGAATTAAATCTGTCCGTTTAATGTGGGTCGAAATCGAGTCCGAAGGAGTCGGTTACATACATACATACGTACAGGTGAAGATAATATAAAGCGTGTAATATTCGGTTTTTTATTTTTATTGGTTCAGTAATTTTAGATATTCAATTTAAACATCTTAAACAGTTTGAACCAAAGAAATTGAACATATTTATTTCGTCAATGTATAATATAAACACTCAATATGACTTTGCTGTGGAATGGAAGCCTGGTAATCCATATCACAGGTTCTTGCATAGTTTGAAAACCAGTCTCCCAATGCCTTCTAAACTGTTATCTTTGTAAATGTTATATGGGAGAAAATAAAAATTATTCTTACTCATTATAATAGTGTAATTAACAATTAACAACTTTACTTGGATACTAATTATATTATAAGTAATTAATTCGAAAACTATTCCACAAATTATTTTAGTTTGCAAACATCCTGTATAAACTCGTGCCCTATTTCCACACTTCATATTCCAGGCGTCCATTAGCGACAAGTTTCGTTGTTAGTGTTGCTATTTGAAATATTACGCATTTTTGTGCTGGCAACTTCGGTAATAATTAACCCGATTTAAGGACGGCTAGGCTAACTCATGAAAATCTACTTTTTATATAATCTTGATCGATTCTTGAATTAAATATCGATAAATTTTAAAAAATTTGAAAGTAGCATGATCTCTCCGACGTTTTTTATCTATTGGTTTTAATTCGTCATTTACGCTATAATAAAAAGATACAGGTTATGGTGACAGTGTATACACACACACACAGTATACACATTTTAGCGGCCATCTCTAATTTAACTGTGAGAAAAATATTTTTTAGATAATAATTTAATGAATTTATTTGAAGAAAATCGACTAACATAGAAAAACACTTTTTGAACGGATTTGAAGTTATGTTTTACTATAAATTTACAATTATTTTACATAATTTTAAATTTAACCGACGTTTCGCGAAGACAAAAAGCGTTGAATGTCGGATAGGTAATGCCTAAAATATATGGAATGTCTATTAAATTAGTAATTTACGAACTTGCATTTAGTCGCTTTTGGCAAATGTACTCCAGAAAGCATAAAGCTTGTTCAAAAGCTTTCAAGACGGTTTACGAATATTAATTTAAAGCTCTTCATAATACTATCGTAGATTCTTGAATAATTTGGTCTCTTAGATATTAATATGGATAATTTATTACTTATTTAAACTAACATCTAGAAGTCTTACATCCTAATGTGTCATAGATTTTTTTTTATTTTTAGTAAAAACATAAGAAAGCATAAAACTACTTTTAAGAAGATACAACAAGTCGCTGTAATTACGACTGGTATTTTATACATTTAAGCCTAGACCGTAGTTAGCCGACTCTGTGGTTCTATTAGGAAAGAGCTCACAAATAAAATTTTGTCTTGATTCTCAGCGAAACTACTCAGTTTTATTATCGAAGTTCAGTAGTAAACAAAAAAGCGTGTGACAGGCACAGAAGGCTAATAACCTACTTGCCTTTTTAAAATAAACCAAACATGTTTTTACAATATTATAGCCAAATCAGTGTTATAATTGTTTGTAATGTAGAATATAAAATACCAACCGTATCACCTCGACGTCCGTCGACCACAACTCATAGGGCAGTTTTTGCGCGCACCACCACTATGTGGAACCATCTGCCCACTAAAGTATTTCCTTAACTTAGGTCCTTCATGAAAAGAGCGTACCAATTCATAGGCCGGCAACGCACTTGCGAGCCTTCTGGCTTTGTAAGGTCCTTGTAGGTATCACTTAACATCAGGTGAGCCGCCTGCCAGTTTGCCTCCTGTTACTTTAAAAAATAATATTTTTAAGTTGTTTTTCTGTCTTACTCAAGCTATATTTAGCGTTAATTTTAATATTATTTATATAGTCAGTCCCGTGTGCACAAAAAAAGGACGGCGTGGCGCTGCGGGCCGCCCGAGGAGAGACTATGTCCATAAAATGTGACGTTGACGCTAATCCTATGGTAAGATTTTTTTTTTCGGACTTATGTTTGACTATTTCTATAAAAGACCATAAATCCGATTTTTTATGTCTCAATTCTAATGTTTAACTTGTCATATTAAATGTTTATATTCTTAACATGTCGCCTTGAATGACGACTGTGTATAGCCTCTGATAAAGATCTTACTACTTAAAATGCTTTTCGAATAATTTGCATCAAAACATGTTCGCAGTTCTTGGGTTCAAATCCCGAGTGGAATTAATTCGATTTCAACGTTTGCCCTAATTGGAAGTAAGCGATGTTTGAATATTCCCTAAGGTCATATCTTGCGTGACTAAAGTTATAATAGATCTATCGGGATTTGAGAATTATAGATCAGAGATCAGTTTTATCCGAAGTTTATCATGTTCTTAATAGACATTGGTGTGTGTGTGCGGTATGGAAATTTGTATTATTCAATTTATTCCATAATACAATGTAATAGAGCTGTTTTTTCTTCTAGCCATCGTCGTTTAGGTGGTGGTTCAACAGTTCAACATACACTGAGCGGGAGCTGACTAGTAGCAATGGAAGTAAGTTTTTTTTAAATAAATTTATACAAGTTAATTTTTCATTATTTACAAGATTATAAATAACTGTAAACTGACCTAACAATAAATTATAAATTATTTATTTTCTTTACGTAGGTTTGTACAAACACTTTTACACGTCAAGCATTTTTTTTTAAACTAGATGAGTTCGACGTTTCCTATCTGACTACTCTGAGAAGAAACGCCGAAACAAACTCAGAGTCTCTTAAAGTCCAGACATAACAAGATTATGTGAAGACCATGTAGATTTCAGTTTAAAATGGTCTTTTGAGGAAAGAACCACACAGATTGAGTGGACCTGTCAAGTCAGTGCACGCATTTGTCAGTAATCGTGCAGTGAAATGCTACAATCAAAAATGTTAAATGCTACAGGGACCAATTTTTTTAAACTTGTTTTAATTTGTAATTGACAAACGTAATAACATTAGTATTTCATCACTTTACTTATAACCTTTTAAAATTAATACGCATTTCTGATCATATGTAAATTGAATATTGCGAATCCATTACTTACTCCAAAATCCCATTAAATCCGTTAAAAGTTTTTAGTCGAAGTTATTTGTATAAAATTGAAACTATTTCAATAAAAGTTAATTAAAAAGCTAAACGATTTGATTACACGAACGTGTGAAGTCTCCATACTCCAACTTTCATAATCATTTTATCCGCTTACCAAAACTGAGGTCAAATTCACCGGTTTGTCATATTGAAGGTGCACCTCTCAACCCTGAGATCGTGTGTTCGAATCACGGCCATGTACCATTGTCTTTTCATTCTATGTATTAACGCTTTCTCGGTTTTGTTGGCCCTTGGCTCCACCGTACGTGAAGAAAAACATCGCGAGGAAACCGGCACGTCTTAGACCTAAAAATCGACGCCGTGTCTGGCATAAAAGGCTGATCAGTGATCATCTACTTTCTGTTAAAAAAAATCCCGGGACTAGGACAGATGTTAAGCCCCACTGGTGTTCTATATTTATTATTCACAGCCTTCGTTTAAATTTTAAATTTAGAACGTTAATAATTTTTAGTGTCCACAGATGCATATGACTATAGGGTGAACAGTTCATCTGAGTATGGATGGGTCCAGTGCGCCGGAACTAACTCGGTGGGACGTCAGACTGAGCCCTGTATGTTTCACATTTTACCTGCCGGTCAGTGTAGTTTATTTTTAATACATTGAATTTAAAAAAAGAACATTTTATTATCTAAATTATGTTATCTATAGTCTTTTAATAGCTAACTTTAAATATAAGGTTTTATTATATTCTATGTACCTATGTACTTGTCATAATTTGTTGATTTTAACTATGTTTTAGGGGGCCTCATAGCCTAGCGGTCTTATTAAGTGGCAGCTAGGTGAGGGGTACCGGGTTCGATTCCCGGTTCGAGGGCAAGTTTTAATTTAATTTAAATTTGTTCTCGGCCTTTGGAAGGGTTGTGCGGTACCGGGCGAGTGCTTAAACCGTACATGGAGGACACGGTCGAATTTCTAAAAAGACAAGCACGAATTATAAAAAATCCTATACTTGACGCTGGCTAATGCACAAATCGTGCCAGAGCCATAAAAAAAAACTATGTTTTATGTATGTGATATATTTTGTTAGTAGTTGAATGTGTATAAGTATTTTTATTTAGGCTTTTGCTGTAATAAAATAAATAAAAAGCAATTTTCCTCCTAGACAGACCATCGGCAGTGCAGAGTTGTGACATTAGCAATGTTACACACGAGTGTTTCTTGATCGAGTGTAACCCGGGATATGATGGCGGACTTGCGCAAGAGTTCATGTTACAGGTACGATTGTTTATCATCTCTTACTTATTAAGTTTTATTTTATTTGATTCAGGTAGCAAAATTATTTTCAATTTGACATAGATATATCTAGTTTGTCTATTTATGATGAATTATATATTCATAATAGTAAAACATATTTTCGAGTTAATCAAAATGTCACGAAATATTTGCCAAATGTTTTGGAGTTCAGCCGTGTTAGAGACCAACGTAGCGACTACATTATGTTTATTATAGAAAAGACGCCTACCTTATATATATCAATAAAAAATAGTAGTTTAAATCTTGATATTTATCAGAAAAGCGATATTAATCATAGTTGTTGGTATTTTAGTGTCAAATTTGTTAATAGCATAAAAGACTTGTTTTCGTATTTCTTTAGTACAATGTCATTATTTCTGTATCTATTTCCCCTTATTCAAATACTAACTCACTCGAACTGCACTCTGTTAAAATATGGCAAAGCGCATGAAAAAAGGAAACAGATAAGAAAGGAAAAACAACAAAAATATATCTAACTAGCAGACCGGCCAAGCGTTGCTGTGGCTAAGGTTTTTGTTATATTACATAGTAGCAAACTATTCAAGGGAAACGGTAGGATAACACCAGTCATGGGGACCACCATGCTTTTTTTGGTGGTTATGCCATTAAATTGTAGCTTATGTGAAATGTTGGTGCTTTCATCACAGCGCCATCTGTTAGAATTGTGACTATCAAATAATAAACAAATATTTTGCAATAAAATAATATTGCGGGTATAAATTGAGATGTAAGCTATCCTATCTTTTAAGTTGGAAATTTGATTGACATCGATTCGGTAGTTTAGGAGTCCATAGCCGACAAACACCGTGACACGTATTTTATATATATTAAGATAAGTGTTTTTCGGAATAAAATTGTAACAAACTGAGCGTAACTATCTCACTTTCGCAATTTTGACGTATAGTTATTTAACATACATTTCCGCAAAAAGCGAGTCTTTAACAAAAGTTGAATTTCGTAGTGATTAATTATAATGAGGAGGAAAATACAATGTTTGAAACTTACTAAAAAAATGATAAATGAAACATTCTAAACAGACACGGTTTAGGGATAAATTTGCGAGCAATATATAAAAAAATAAGAGTTTTAGTTTAAAATTACATCTTGTATGACTACTGTTTTAGTACGGGTCGCACAAACCACGATAAATTGACTAGACACACAACGGCTCACCTGAAAACTAAACATTATATACAGGGTGTCCCAAAAGTCGACGTCAAGTCGAAATTTTCTCATAGGTAATGCCACACCAGTTATCAGAAAAAAAAAAACATAAGTCATGTATTTTTGAAGTTATGGATATTTTTTTGTTATTCCAGAAAATACACACCATGTGACAGTTTTTTCATTCCTGTTGTTACAAATATTTACTTTTTGCCAAATTTTTTTCTTTTACGTCATCCCGAATAGTGTTTTATGTAACCTATGATCCTAAACTCTGTGCTGATCACTCCAACTTTTAGGAAAATGTCATTTTATACCGTACCAAGTTTTCAAAATTAATTTTCGCACTACTTCAACTGATCGTCCTGAAAAATAAATGTACTACTCCAGTTTGGCAAGTAGCTTTAAAAGTTAGCGCATTTAATACGGATTCTACAGTGGTATAACACTGAGTCCATTATTTCTTAGATCGGCCATAAGAATTTTTTTTTGTTAAACAAAGTCTCTTTTTAACAATCTCTTTGAAATTACAACAAATGATTCTAGCGCACCCAAAACGTTCCTAATGACCACAGCGTGGTTTAAATAAGATGGAGAGAGACATTCCATAAAATGTGAGTGAGACAGATAGTGACGCTTATGACATACGGACGCAAATAAGTAAAATAGACAGTTTCCTTTTTATGATTAGATTTATTACTTTTTTTATAAAAGATGTTCAAATTGCCGTCCTTCAGCTACAATACAGGCTCGACATCTCCTTAAAAAAGATCGTGAAATGAAGCGGGCAAATCTCGGGTCCATTATTCACAAATTCTACTGCTTCCGCTATTCTCTGTCTAAGAATAACAAAATAACACCAGCGAATACGAAAAGATGCGTAGTAAACGAAGGAGCGTTGCGTACTGACCTGTAGTGCGTGTGTCAATAGCAATAAGTAGCGTCACTATCTGTCTCGTTCACACTTTACGCCATCTTATTTAAACCACGCTGTGGTTATTAGGAATGCTTTGGGTGCACTAGAATCGTTTTTTGTAATTCCAGAGAAATTCTTAAAAACAGACTTTGTTTAACAAAAAATTTTTTTATGGCCGATCTAAGAAATAATGAAGAAAGTGTTACACCACGTTAGAATCCTTATTAAATGCGCGAACTTTTAAAGCTGCTTGCCAAACTGGAGTAGTACATTTTTTTTTCAGGACGATCAGTTGAACTAGTGCGAAAAATTAATTTTGAAAACTTGGTACGGTATAAAATGACATTTTCCTACAAGTTGGAGTGATCGGCACAGGGTTTAGGATCATAGGTTACATAAAGCACAATTCGGGATGACGTAAGAGAAAAAAAATTTGCAAAAAGTAATTATTTGTAACAACAGGAATGAAAAAACTGTCACATGGTGTACATTTTCTGGAATAAAAGGAAAATTTCCATAACTTCAAAAATACATGACTTAATTTTTTTTTTAATTTTTCTGATAACTGATGTAGCATTACCTATGAGAAAATTTCGACTTGACGTCGACTTTTGGGACAACCTGTATATAAAACAATACTAACACTGTACATATAGTATTATATTAAGCTAATTTATATAAAAATAAGGTTATATTCACTAGGTTTAGCAGTTTTTGCTTGAAACTCACAGTTCACGAAATTACGATAAAACCTTCTAAACTGGCTTTTATCGTATTTATATGTAACCACTAGCATTGCTCCGCGGATCACTCGCGTGGATACCGATCTCGTGGTAGTGGAGTCTATTAAGTCGGACTATAGATATATTTTTGCTATCATATCTTGTTCTATCATCAATAGTTTCCACAGCGCACGCGATGACAGATTTTTATGGATAATTTTTTCACACTGGGTTATATTATTGCATTTTTATTAGGGATGCCTATGTTTATGAAAATGTAATATAGCCTATGTCAGTCAATGAAGATGCAGCTTTCTAATGGTGACAGAATTTTTGAAATCGGTCTAGTCGTTTTTGTGTGAAAACATTACAAACATACAGTCAAAAACACAAATGTTTCCTCTTTATAATATTCGTATAGATATCGTCAACCTTAACAGAAGTCAGCGGTGAGTTCACTCATAAATTTATTAAGCGCCCCCGCTGAGACAGGTTACAAAAATTAGACATTATGGTTATAACTTTAAAATATTGTATCCTAAATTGTAATTTATGTAAAGGTTAATTTGTTAGACATTTATATCTTACTTTTAGTTTTACATCACAAAAGACGTACTTAGTTATTTTTTTTAAATCTTTTTATAGTGTTTATACGAAAAATTCTGCCATTCATCTAAGCAGTCCTATTCCCCGCGGTCCGACAGTACTATGTATAATATATTATAAAAAATTAAAAATCTGTCTAGGCCTCAGATTTCTGTATCTGTTTCCTGATCATTTGTCAATCTAATAGCCAAGTTGGTGATCAGCCTCCTGTGCCTTATCATCCGTCACCAGTCGACTTTTTGGGCTTAAGGCAAGCCGATTTTCTCTCGATATCTTCCTTCACCGTTCACGCGATTGTTAAATGAGCAAATAGAAAGAAAGTCTATTGGTGCACAGCTGGGGATCGAACCTACGACCTCAGGGATGAGAGTCGCACGCTGAAGCTACTAGGCCAACACTGGTCTAATAATATATTATACGAGTATGTACATAGTATAATTAATAATGTGAATCCTATAGAATATTTTACAGCGTATTGATCTACACAAGATAGCTCCTTTAAAAAAACAAGAATCTTGACAACCATTGTTTTTGGCCTGATATCGATGTTGATATTTTTTCTCATATCTCACTTATGTTAATCTGGCCTTAAACGTATTTTATAGAACCGTACGAAACGGAGAAGCCTCGCGAGTGAGGTGCAGGCTCGGAAATGCTTTGTCGGCCTTTTCATATTGAATTATATAGTCTAATAATTGCAAGCAGGTATTCATCGTTGAAAATGGAGCGCTAATAACGAACAGGACAGGCATGGCAGCACAATGGAGGGTCTGCAACGTGTCTGGGGCGCAAACTGTTCGCGTGTCAGTTTACGCGTATAACAGAGTGGGACGCAGCGAACCCCATACGGTCACTGTTGGGTTACTGGAACATCCGCAGCGGCATACGGGTTAGTAATAATGAATTTAATTAATTTGAAATGTTTTGTACCGCTTTGGGTGTTAACTTTCCTTAAAAGATCAGGACAGGGCATATTTCAAATGTCAAATTAATTTAATGTGCTATAATTCGGAATGAATATGGTTTAGTGAGCAATGCTTTTGAAAATTCAACTCAAGCGTTGGTAATTTAGTATTAAAACTATGCCGGGGAAATGTCCATTAATTTTCTATCAATTTAGGACTCCCACACAAAACTGCGATGCGATGCGATGCGAATTCGCATGCGTTGAGAACTGAATTTCTGCGATACGATTTAGTGCGTCAAATCGTTTGGTAGGGCGACCATTCCTTCGAAGCCAGCCGTACTGAACGTGTTTTTAAGAAGCGTAAGATGGATCGCAAAAAGATTATTGCACTGCTGTTATTGTTAAATAGATATAAAAGAAAAAGAAGATTCTGGGTTCATCCATTCATTACGATTATGAACTCTGATGGGAACTATTTTATTCAAAAGTACTATGCGTTGAGAACTGAAGATCAATTTTTTGATTATTTTTGAATGAGCATATTTTCATTTGAAGAGATTTTGAGTATATTATCACCATGCCTTCAAAAACGATCGTACAAGGGAAGAATTCCTGTTATGCCTTTGGAAATGCTGGGACTGACTATCAGGTAAAGTAAAACAAAATTTATTTATTGACATTTTAATTGTTTGTCTCAGAGCGGACTAAAATGGTGTCACCAAGGATGACGTAACATCGCAGGAATGTGCGATGCGAAGCAGATCGGAAATTCTTGCGTTGCGTTCGTGCGAATTCGCAGATGTTTGCGATGCGATGCGAATTCGCAGTTTTGTGTGGGAGCCCTTAATGACATAACTACCCATTACAATTGCGTAATGATGTGATAGTTCAAAACGCGCACACGCAAGGCGCTACTCAGTTTTGTATTAAATTTTTTTGTCACAATTCTATTGCGTTCACAATACAATTAAAGGTATTGTTCGTTCTTTGTATTCTCAAACCTTACTCTCAATCTATAAACCAACTAGCAGTGCCGTATAATATTCCCGTTGATTTGTTTTAGTTTGAATTACATTTCTCTATTTTGTCTTGTTTGAGTTCTAGCTTTCGTCTTAATAAAAATGTATTTAAATATTTGTCGAATATTTTTAAGGTTCAGGGTCAAGCCCTGTCAGGGGCTGGCAAGCGTAGCATAACCACGTTCTTCCCCTTATAGAAACAACACGATTAAAAGTATTGTTTGCGCTACGAAATCATACAAAAATTTAAAGTAAATGTTGAAATAATTCCTATCTATATTTAAACTATTTATAACTTAAACGATTCTGTGTAAAGTATTGTTCGTGCCATAAATGTTCTATTGAAATAATATCTAACCCTTTTCATTTATTCGAGTTAATATTTAAGAAGGGTACACTTTATTTTAATCCAATTCTGGCATTTGGCTAATTTATCGTTTCCTGCCCTTAGCCTAACCAATTTATGTTTATTCAAATGTAATTTCTTCAATGCGGAAGTGAGGTTTTGGGCAAACAATGATCTATATTATCCTTAGTATTTATTTAGGAAAGCTATTGTATAGTTTTGCAATATATATTTTTGCAAAGCTATTTCCCTTTAATACTTAATTATTATATTATCTAAATTAATTAAATAACTATCCGGAGAGCCCCCTCTTTAAATCATTAGTTAGATAACTGTCATAATTATAGCGTAGCACCGTTCATATAATATTGATTTATATCATTCCGCGTTTTTCCCAAAGAGGTAGGCAGAGACCACGCTTCTCTCGCTTCATCCACTTTTATGACATTTACCATGTATGCTCGGGGGTTATTATGGGTACTTTTAACTTGTCCCTTCTCTAGTACTTCTTGGTCCCGGTATCGGTCAATAATCGGTAAAAATATCAATGACAAATAATCACTTATAATACACAAGAGCTTCAAAATTATCGGGTATTTCCCGATAATTTTGAAGCTCGTGTGGTAGTCGGGGGATTATTTTTCCGACCCAAATGTCGGCCAATAGAATTGCACCATGAGACGAAATGTACAGTTAACAAATAAGAATTTCATAATGAATAAAACAACTACTTAATACTTTTCTTGAAGCAACTACCAGAGAAAATTTTCAAAAAATTATCAGTATAATACCATGTAGGTTGTACCACGTGACGTCGAATGGTGCAATTCTATTGGTCGATATTTGGGTCGGAAAAATAATCAGTCATATTCACCGGTTCGTTCATTCGTTTTGCAGAACAATTTAATTTAATTTACTGAAATCGACATAAGAACATAAATGAACTAAGTTGCCCGTTATTTTTGTAAAAAAGTATATGTTTTATTACCATACTCGCGTTACCATACATAATTGCGTTGAATAATATAATATAAGAATTTTTTTTTTAAAGACAATTCACACCAATTCACCTAGTCCCAAGCTAAGCTGGTGAAGCTTGTGTTATGGGTACTAGGCAACGGATATACATACATATTATTATAGATAGATAGATATAAATACATATTTAAACACCCAAGACCTAAGCACAACACCAAATGCTCATCACATCGATGTTCGTCTCAGCCGGGGATCGAACCCGGGACCCATGGATTCGCAGTCAGGGGTACTAACCACTAGACCAATGAGTCGTCAATATTAATAATAATAGTCGTATTTACAGGTATTTCGTCAGTCAGTGTACAACTATCGGCCGTGCTGGTGTCGGTACTCTGCGCTGTGAGTGTACTTATTTGCGTCGGCACATTAGCAACGTTTGCATTGTGCTACCGGCACTGTCAGCCGAGACGGGGTAAGTTAAACAAGTTTTATTGGTTTGTGAGGCAAATTCTTTTATTTATTTAGAATTTTTTTTATAAAGCGTATGAAAACGCTGATTGTAATTTTTTTTAAATGAAATACACTGAAATTCAATCATTGCGTTGATTATGATTGGCTAACAGCATCGGCCAATCATAGTCAAGCGCCACGATTCTTCGATTTTCAAAAATTACTGTTAACTCACCAGTGTCAATATGTCAAAACGTTTCTTTTCAACCAATGCCTGAAAAAAACCTAAAGAATCGGTGACAATATAATTTTACGAGTCACTGCCCTCAGACCATACTGTATACTAATGAGACAATTTTGATGAAAAATGATAGTACTGTTTTCGTAGCTTCTACGTGTAATTTTCACCGGCTCGTAGTTCACTTGTTTTGGAGGGCATAAAAACATATGTCAAAGTCTTTAAAATTCGCTTATTGATCAAAAATGTTACATAAAATGCTTTAACGGTTTTCCGATGAACCTTGTAAGCTTGCTAAAAATGGTAATGCAGTCCCGTGGGATGCGTTTCCCAGAATATTGAAGCTCAGTAATTTCCATTTTCTAGGGCATGTTGGGAATGTGACCTGCTTACTTATCTTAATATATATATTTCTTCTGTGCGTGTGTATGTGACTGAACTTCTCTCAAACGACTGGACCGATTTTGATGAAATTTTTTGTGTGTGTTCAAGGGGATCTGGGAATGGTTTAGATTCACAAATCAGCCCGGTAGATGGCACTGCAGTCGGTACTTTCATACTTTGCTTAATATCCTAATCGCTTTAAATATCATGCAGGACAACGTCTGTGGGGTCCACTAGTAATTTATATAAATCTAAACGCAATAACTAAGCTATGAACTGAATATTTTTAAAATTACTTTAAGGCGCAATGGTGGACTTTATATTCACTTTAATTTTAAACTTTCGTTATATGTATTTGTTTATAGTCTAAGTAGCTTAGTTTATATATATATAAACTAAGCTACTTAGAATTAAAAAGGCTGTTTCTAATTATTGTTATGGTTCCCACCATTACAATAATTTTGTAAAAAACCATGGCGATTTAAAAGGGTAAGAGCGGAAGGTTTATTGCCAGTTCTTATCCTCCGTGCTACGTTCTTAATTTAAGAACTGGCAGTAAATGTAAATTTAGAGGGATTAATTACTGACAATTTAATTTTTTTTTTAATAACATTAGTTACCTACATGAATTATAATATTTTTTTTATTTTAATCTTGGATTGCGCGCAACTTCTTGTTTGGTTAAATATATAGATAATAAAACCTCATTTTTTTCTTGATACGTTGTAATTTTTTCTTAGGAGAAAAACCGGAAAAAGCGAAAAGCCGCGACGAATCAACCAAAGATCTCCTCGAAGACAAATCAGAGGCGAAAGACGAGAAACATTCAGACACAAACCCAGACATAATACCAATAGAAACCAAGAACATCGCCGTGACAGAGACCGCGCAACCGTTACTTTCTCACGGGCATTGCTGTGACCGGCCTATTTGCGACCAATATGTAGTTCGGCCTATGCAATATCATGTGCATCCATACAACATTGATGCAAATACACCGAGTTTGAGTCTAGAGCCGTTGGAATTAAGTTATTTGCCCACAGAATATCGATTGCCGCATGATAAGGTGTATGAAGACTGGCTGAGGTATAAGAACGCTTTGCCCATGGACACAAGTAATTTGGTGAGTTGACCGTTTGATCTAACATTTATTTATATTATGTTAAATTCAGGAACATTAATTTATTTATTTTAAAAGTTAGTTTAATAAGTGTTGGCCTAGGCTTAAACGTGTACCCTCATCCCTGAGGTCGTGCTTTCAAATTAGGGTTGTGCACCACTGGAATATTCCCTTGCTCGAACGCTGAAGGCAAATATTGTGAGGAAACGGGTGCAATCTGAGGCCTAGACCCGTTTAGGGTTGTAGCGCCACTGGAATGTTATTACTTTAAAAAATAATTTGTAATGGTGTGTTCCATACACGTCGAACAAATTTTATGTCTTTACTAAGACCAATAATACAACGTGTAAATTTGTAACCCATACCATCAATATATTACAAAACAGGTATCCGATCCAACTCTGTTATCGACGAAGGTTATTCAAATTCAGCTGTTCATATAATATAATTACTTGATATGTACAAATGATTTTTATATTGAAAACTTTATTTTAAAAATAATATGTATAAATAGATACTATTTATTTCCAACACACAAATATACAGTATTTAAAATATTCTTACCCAAAGAATAATATATATATAATAAAATTAAAAATTAATCAATAGAAAATTAAAACAAATTTAAAAAAGTTTTCAGTGTACCTTTAATTATTGGAGCACAAGAACATTTTTATAAAGGGTCTTTCAAAGGACTTCCGCTTTAGAACGGGGGCCATCTTCTTGAAGCTACATCTGTCAAATTGGCTGTCATTTATTCAGTCTGTTTTGCCAAATCACCATGGATGGATATAGCGTTCAACAACACGCGCAAATGATAAAATTGTTTTATCAAAATGGGTGTTCTTTCGGGGCACGGCCTTCGCCCATTTTACGGGCGCCAAATCGTCCTACCGAGCCGAGGGGGGCTATTCGCAGTGTGGTGGCTAATATTTGAGTCCACTGGTTCAGTAAACGATCAACCCCTAACACCCGTACGTCGACGAAACGCAAGATCTACCCGAAAACATCGCCGCTGTCCGTGAGAGCATCGGGAGAATTCACGGGGGGGGGGGGTTTTGCGGTCCCCAAAAAAGACCTCGGCGTTAAAAAAAACCACTTGGGGGATTTTTTAGCGGTGCCTCCCCCCCCCCCCCGTCCAAATTTAACCCAACCCACCTCGGCGCCCTCAAAGCCAACATAACCCATGCCATCGGTCAGAATTCAGCCTGGATTTATGCACCAGCGTTATGGAAAGTGGACATTTCGGATGCGCGCCACCCAGAGAAGCCGGGGCGGACATTTGAACGATGTTATATTCCACACATAATGGCATCGATAGGCCTTTCAAACCAATAAAATTGTTGATGATATCTAACCAATTGTTTTATTTAAATTTGAAGAAGGAAGCCCTTAATGAAAGACCCTTTACTATGTGCGCAGTAGCATAGTGCGGGTGACAGTTTCAGTAACGTTCCGTTTCACTCTTAAAAGGTGCCGCGATTTACAAATTATACTTAGTATTTCAGCTGTACCACATTCGTAATATATTAATTTATTAATAACTGTAGTAATTTAAATTTAACCCATCCACAATGTTCTACAAATTAAATCAAATTAAAGAAAAATAAGGCAACTTTCACCCGCACCATGCTACAGAGCACATAGTATAATTAACATTTTTTCTTGGTTCTTTTCATTAACGCATTGCGAAGCAACAACATACTTCTAATAATGGTCTTTATATTCGACAACAATTTCAAACTAACGATTAAAACGCGTTACTAACTATTTTAAAATGTAAGTATGGAGTTTATTGCCCATTCTTTTTCATATGAAACGACCTTGAAGGGTCAACTAGTCATTTCTTTAAATATTTTATAACTTGTAATTTTGACTTTCAAAAGTGCCTTTTAATAGGCCTAAATGAAATTAATGATTTGGCTTTGAAAATTCGTGTATAATCAAAAAGCTTTTGTTTTTTATACTTATATTACATAAGAGAATAGTTTTTTTTTTAAAGTCACTGAACCGATTTAAAATTCTGTGTAAAATGGGCCATATTTCCAAAAATATTTAAAAATAAACTTCCGAAGCCAGAACAGCTTGTAAATTAGGTAATAGTTACCGTGACTTGGTCAAAGGTCAATTTGTTAAATATAATTCTTTCAGTAACCTATCCAATTATGTGGCGTAATTAAAGAGTTTGTAAACATTTCACAATGAGGGGTTCAAAGTGAACTATTTAGAGGAATAAACACAGATCGGAATTTCATTAAACAGTGCTAATCAAAGCGAAATAACATTATTGTTAATTACACAATTCAAGTCTTTCATTTCACACGTAAACTAAACGGAAATTGACTTTTGTTAACATAAATATAATGTATTTTTTGTGAGGGACGGTCAGCCATTCAGCCAGGTTGTCCAACCTGTAAAAAATTCTTTCAGTAATATAAATAATAATATCATTCAAAACTTCCTGATAGCGCTGTAGCTCTATTATAATCATTCCAGAGATCTATATCCAAAATATTCGAAATACAACATTTCTTTAAATGATTATTTTTATTTATCTTCAGCTCACAAGCAAGATTAGGTATGGACCGCACCGCCTTATATATATTTTTTTATCTAGATAATTCTGTGGTACAAAAATATTTACCAAAAAGCTAATTCAATAGAGTCAGCACGCCATTTTTGTTTTCAATTTTATATAACGATTTAGTTCATGTCAAAGATCGAACAGTAACTTTGTTTCGCTCAAGGGGAAGGCTTAGGTATTTCGACCACTTAGGGTGATTCAGAAATGACTTCCATATGTCCAAAAACGTATTGAAGTGTGTGATACGGGGGTCATAGTTTACACTAAGGTCCGTTTCTCAATACCCCTAATTTTCGCGTTTAATATCGTTTTGGTAGCAGAGTTAATTTGGTATTCGAAATTAGTTCGAATTTCAATCTAGGAATCAACACAAACAACTGTTTATTAATATATCTTAGTCGTAAGAGATCGCTTTACGTTCATATCATATTAATACAGACATTAGAACGTCAGTATGTAGGCAAATATAGTGAGTAATTATGTTTGAATATTCATACTCCACTTAAATAAACGTGGTGTTTCCACCGTTAAATTCAATAATTATAATATCCGGTTAGACCAGTAGCATCAGGAAACTATAATTCTTTCGCATCGGCGGTCGCTCTGATATCAGGGGTGAAGCAGTCATTTTATGATTTGGCATTCTAACAGGGAGGTTGGAGCTTGTGAGTTTATTGTTTATCAGAATGGAAATCATGCTCCCCGCAAGGGAGGAGGGGAGAGGCCCCGGCGGAGAAACCCGTGTGTGAGGTTGGAAGGGAGTGTTAGAAAGGCGGGGGGGGAAACTATAATTCTAACAGCTTCTGTTTCCCGCTTCGCCTATTAGCCAACGATTATTTCACCTATCAAAGACATATCATTTAAGACTTGTACAAAATGGCATTCGAGTTTCTTTTTTATAATTTTGATTCTGTAGTTTGATCCTACTTTATAACATTTGTGGACTTATTAATGACATTATTGAGTGTTTACGCGGGATTTTTTTTATTTAGTAATATTTTGGGGACTTGTAATTTATGAACTAAATCTCTGTAATCGAAATAACCAAGAGAATATCTAACTAATGTTTGTTTACAACACACGGTGCCTTGTGTCTTATATCTGCATAAAATGAAGTTCTACGTACGCCCGCGGGTGCTGAAAGAAAAATATCTTATATGGTCCCAGTACATGGTTGTGCCTGCAGCACTGTCTAGTTATCATATCCAAAGAAATAATTTAATTCAATTCGCCGTTATATCAAAATGGCCGTCTGTTTTATATAAAATATGTCAATACAAAAGCAATTACAGTTATTATTAATTACAATAAATAATAATGCTATTATAAAACGAAATTATGGTCTGTGATAAATCCAAATGTTTCGCGAAATTGATTGTATTATGAGTATGATAGTAGAATTAAACATTCGCACGTCATGTATAAAATAAATCAGTGGCGCTACATCCTTTTTAAGTCTTGGCCTCAGATTTCTGAATCTGTTTCATGATCATTTTTTTAATGTAATAGGCAAGTCGCCGTCGACTTTTTGGGTCGACATGACATGTGACTTGTCGGTTTCCTTTCGATTTTTTCTTCACCGTTCGAGCAAATGTTAAATAAGCACATAGAAAGAAAGCACAGCCGAAGCTAGAACCTATGACCTCAGGTATGAGAGTCGCACGCTGTAGCCACTAGGCCAACACTGCTCTCCTCCTCACGTCATGTATATTAAACCTAAAAATCAGTATGTGTCTGGCACAGAACACATCACCTACTTGCCTTTAAGAAGAATTGATCACGAAATATATACAGCCATCTAAGACCAAGACCTAGTGGTTGTATTGCTACTGATAATAATATTAGTAGCATAGTAAATCATATAAAATAAAACCTCAAATTTAAATCTTAAAATGAAATTGGGTCTAGCATGAAAGCGAATTATAACCACAACGAAAAGGTTTCATAAAACGCTTGAATATTACACAAATTATCAGAAAAACATACTCCAGCGCATAACCGAGGTTGTAAAAATAAGGTTAAAAGACATTAGGTATTCATATTGCACAACTCACAAACTTTATAACTAGGTTTATCTAGTTTCAAAAGTATTTTAGTTTGAATTTCAAAGTTTATACAAGGAAAGTTGAATAATAAATATTCAAGCGAATTATCGCCTCGTATACTTGTTGTACTAGCAGAAAAAGGGATTAATAGATCGTTTTAACAATTTAAAAGTTGTAATATTATGCTTTTTCGTATAATTACATTCAGAGAAAATTTAAAGCTCCTCAATAAAAATCTAATGAATATTACAGTCATGGTAAAAAAACTATCGACAAGCTTAGAAAAGTATCAAGACGGGTTAAACATAACGTAATATAAAATCTGCCAACACTGTATCATACAGTGGTGGCAAACAACAAAATATGTATAGATAGAGACAGAACATGATATGCTTTGTTCTGCTCACACAATTGCATTGTTACATATTATACAACGAAGACGAAAGAATAATAAATTAAATATATTGAAAAATATAATACTTCTAGGAGTAAAAAAAACAAAAGAAATTTAAAAATTTTAAATACTAAAACTACGCTGTTACACTGTTTAGCTGTACTACGTTCCAGCGTAGGCGCTTAGCACTTGCCATTCCTCTTGATCGCTCTACGTCTTTCCCGGCCAAGTTAGGTCATTATCTACGCTCAAATTCTGCCCTACAGAACACATACATTTATATTATACTAGCTGATCCGGCAAACGTTTTGCCATGTATATTATTTCTAGGAAACATTTTCTTAGTTCAATAAAAATAACTATCTACTATACTAAAAAATAGGGGTTGATCGTAGAGGGGTGAAAAATAGGGGTTGTATGTATTTTTGTATACTGTATCATAGAAATATAAAAACAAAAAAAAATTGTCTAAAAAATATTAAATAAAATTTTGGGGCGGACACCCCTTATCATTTAGGGATTTAAAAGATAGATAGTAGCCTATTCTCAGACTTACTGAATATGCATAAAAAATTTCATGAGAATAGGTCAAGCCGTTTCGGAGGAGTATAGGAACGAACATTGTGACACGAGAATTTTATATACATAGAGATTCAAAAGTTCTATTTACTAATTAAAAACTACATTAAAATTATACACATACTACATTATATGTAGTCAGTGTAATAAAATAGAATAGTACAGACTAAATATTCTCAACACTTAAAGATATATTTAATTTCGTAGCTCCCACCACACCAACTGACGCCCCAGCCGAATTCAATATACAGCAGCATCAAGCGGAACCCCCTTAAATTGGTCAAAATGCCGGAACTGGATCCATGCCGACTGGAGGTGTCGAATTATCAACGATACTCACCGTCGCTACAATTAAACCCCGAAAATAATACAGCAAGATTCAATAATACACAAATGAATGAAGCACAGCCAATCAATGGGAATGGTAAGAATATACTTTTTAACAAATTAAAATTCAAGTATATCACGTAAGCAGAGTTACTGCAATTTATCCCCCCGGTCAGCAAAAAAAAAAAAAAAAAAAAAAAAAAAAAAAAAAAAAAAAAAAAAAAAAAAAAGGAAAGGGGGGGGAAAAAAGGAGGGGGGGGGGGGGGGGGGGGGGGGGGGGGGGGGGGGGGGGGGGGGGGGGGGGGGGGGGGGGGGGGGGGGGGGGGGGGGGGGGGGGGGGGGGGGGGGGGGGGGGGGGGGGAAAAAAAGGGGGGGGGGGGGGGGGAAAAAAAAGGGGGGGGGGGGGGGGGGGGGGGGGGGGGGGGGGGGGGGGAAAAAGGAAAAAAAAAAAAATAAAAAAAAAGGGGGGAGGGGGGGGGGGGGGGGGGAAAAAAAAAAAAAAAAAAAAGAAGGGGGGGGGGGGGGGGGGGGGGGGGGGGGGGGGGGGGGGGGGGGGGGGGGGGGGGGGGGGGGGGGGGGGGGGGGGGGGGGGGGGGGGGGGGGGGGGGTGGGGGAGGAGAAAAAAAAAAAACCGTCCCCAGGGGGGGGGGGGGGGAAGGAAGAAAAAAAAAAGAGGAAGGGGGGGGGGGGGGGGGGGGGGGGAGGGGGGGGGGTTTTAAATAAAAAATTTTAGAGAGAGAGAAACAAAAAAAAAATTTGTGGGGGGGGGGGGGGGAGAAAATTTTTTTGGGGGGGGAGCCCAAATCACTAGTGAAGTTCGTGCAATTCAACAAGTGAAGTTCCCTATTTCTATCATAAAATATTTACCTTGTAGTGACGTAATTTTTTAACTTATTAATGTTTTTTGTAATAATCCTAACTGAATTTATTTACATAGCAATGTTATGAAAGGCAGATAGAGCACAAAATACATTCAAACTATAAAACTAAAGCCTTACGTAGTTACGATGTTAATTGCAGAGACAAATTTCGCTGCGTGGTTCTCCATTGAAAACGATTACATCACTAATCCAGGGGATTTCACATAATGTGGCATTATTAATTGCCAGTATGTTATTTCAAAAATTATTTTAGCAGACTGCGTTCCTACTTCTTTTTTGTTATCTATTATACTTACTGTCCTTAGATGTTTATTTGATTATAAGAAATGTTAAAACCTTTTACTATGAAGATTTATTTTTAATGAATCGCATTTTAATTCTTTACCTTAAATCAGACTAATAATTTTTCGGTCCTTTCATCGAATTTTTTTTTCACGAAGATTTATCGATAAATTTAGTAGTACGTATCTGTCCACACTAGCAAGTATGGGAGGCAGTCGCATTCGCCCCTCTTAAAAGTTTAAATTAATTTTTCTGGAAACTGAGCCTTATTCCCAGCACCTAGATACCAATTTCAGATACCTGTAGTGTGAAACTATACATACCCTTATTCCAAACGTATAGATTACGATTACAACAAGGTCATTTAACTGATAGTTGCATTAGCCTCAAGGTGGGGTAAATGTAACTTTTAGTGCTCTTATTCAACAAGAATGTAAATTATTCAATAACTAAGCCTATTTTTCACGTACTTTATGTCGGAACTATTCAATGAAAGGCATGGAATAAAGTAAGTTCATTTAAACAACCATCATAATTAGGTAGCTAATGGTAGAGGACGACAAAGTACCCATTTATAAATTTTTAGTTGTTTGCCGGTGACCTTACATAATGTTAACTTTAGGTATAAAGAGTCACTAGATGGTCACGAAACGATTAACTATACTTGGGTACAGAAAAACATTATGGCGCGTTACATGGGGGGTGTCAATATATAATAATCTCCAAAAATTGCGTGACTTGAACGCTCCGTAATACATATGTGTAAAAACTGTGTCTTACAGAAAGACCCCCCCCCCCTCTGCCTATATAGTGCTTACATAATACTTGAACGGCCCTAAATAAGTAGGTTTCTCTTGATCATTCCTACCAAACGAAATCACAATGTATAGCCAAGAATCGGATCTCAGACCTTCAGGTTAAAAGGTGATGGTAAATGTAATGTTCTTGTACGTACGTAACGTTAATATATGTATTTTGATATATGATACGTAATACACTACGTCAGGGGACTGCAGATAAATTGCGGTTTCTTATTATTAACGAAGTATAAAAATATTCCAAGGTAAATGAAAGTAAGAAAAATTCCAAAAACCTTAATTTATTCTAATACGAGGGAAAATTGCGGAGTGAAATCTAAATTCAGAACTTAAATGAAACTTGAATAACTTCAAGTATATTCGAGGATTCTAATTTCAAATTCTTATTCGTTTTTATTTGAACTTTAGCTTTAGAATTAGGCTTGTGGATAAAACTCATAAATTAACGGTACAAATATTGATATATTTAAATTGCTAACACACGCCATACAATTTTGAAACTTTCTATGCGTGATAAATCCATTGTCATTTTTCATTCATACCAGATGAAGTCACGAATAAAAGCAAGCGTTATAAAAGAAACTGCGAGATTTCTCATAATAACATGTCAGGGCTGCTAACTGCATAATATGTCGTTGAATAAAAGCGTGTACAACTTGCATTTTTCAACCTCTGACCTACTTAGATGTGACAGCCCTGCAGAATACTTGAGCAGTCGGAAAAATAAGAAAGACGCGCGATTTTATTGAACTACCAGACTAAGAACATTAACTGCACTGTTTGTAGTTATAGTATATTTTTACGCTTAACTGATCAATTGACTCGCATCTGTAAGCGAATTGCTGAACGCATAACACAAGATGTTTCATACTTAATCTATTTCTATTGAAATAACAATTATAATTGAAATCACTCATCAAATATAGGCAACGCAATAATAAATGAGTACTGACGTTGTCTTTGTTTAAAATATTTCCCCGTTTTTCTAAGCCTATCATAAATAAATATGAAAAAAAGCGTGAGTACGAAGTACGCTTACAGTACTTGTTCATATTTATACAAATGTAAAACTTTAGATTTCCGAGACTTAGAGGGAAGGAAAAAGGAAGATATGTTAGGAATTTAATGAATTGTCATTAAAATATTAATAACATTAAAAGTGTCGGAAATTAATACAAATTGTAATTTATTTCTTCGATAGTAAAAACACGTGGCATTTTAATTTACAATTCGTCATTTGAGATTTCAAAAAGTTATTTTGCATAAAATATAAAATACTAATATTTCATAAAATCTTTTTACAAAATTTTAATTTTAAAAATAGAATTTCTATAAGGTAATTCGCCCTTTTCACTCTCTATCAATGGCTCTGTCTCTTTTCTTCGACGAAAACGCTGCACTTCTTCGTGACATTCCGTAAAAATTTTACCCTCATGCGCCTAAAGAAGTTTCACTTCAAAAAAAATAAACATATACACATAATGTATTCGGTATTGTTTATCTCAAATACTTGGATACTGAATGTTGTACTGTGTTCTAAAATTGGAAACAAGACGCAAGCACTCGCAATATTCATCCGCCTAACTGAATATTAGTTTTAAGCGTATTTATTACGTGTTTATATTTGCTTTTATCCATCCGTATTTCGCGATGAACTCAGAGAACTGTTGAGCAATGAAAGTTGATATTTGACGATATTAGTAGAGGATATGCTATTGGAATACATTTCATATTCTCCCATTTAATTATTATATCGATTTGCTATTCATTTATATCGTATTAATCATGCTTTGAAATTGGAACGATCCTGGGTGATGTTTTTTTAGATTTAACATTACGTTGTAACATTTGACTTTGAAATTTCCAGCAATGTTAGTTGATTTTTCAAGCAATCGAAAATTATAATAATAAATTTATTTTTTCATAAAGCTTTCAAAGTTTTATAAGTGTACCTAAGTTATAGTTAACTGTTTTCGCGCATTCATGTACTTATTTTTTCAGAACGCCAACAAGCCCCGAACGAAGCGTCCAATACAGTGCCACAGCGATGAAGCCAGTGAATTGTTTTTGTGTGATTTTTGTGTTACCGCCAGTTATAGCCCTGAAAGACGTTGACATTTCAATTATGAAGAGAACAGTGCTTCTAAATATAAAAGATTCGCCATAACAATTTCCGAAAATATACTGTATAAGTAATAAATAATTGTTTTCTCTTCACAGATTATGATTTCTTTACCTTGTCCTTACGTACTCCAGATTTGTTTTGCGATGTATCGATTGTAATACTAAGGTATTTTCCTTGTATAGTCCCTGTTTTATAATACAGCCGAGTATGGAAGCACTGCAAGTGAGACCTTGAAAGTTTGGAAATGTCAGTGACAGGTCCTAAAATTATTCTCGTGACAATTTAAATTAGGAATAGGCAAGAGCTTTGACAGCTGTCATTTGCGTACGTCACTTTGACATATGATTTTTTTACTCTCGACTTAAATTAAGATGCATTTGTCATTTAGATATAGGTGATGGCAGAGGACGTCTTCAAGTCGACAAGATTCGTTTCAGAACTATTTGTGTCAACGAATTTAGAATTAAAAGTTTGTCACGCCATATATTTTTTTTGCTTTTTTATTTCAAAGCGTTGAACGCATTTTTTTTTAATCTTTTTCAATCAAAATATTTTCGTCGAGAATAGAATTTATGTCTACGTATTTAAGGTTGTAAATATTAATTGTTGCATTTAATGATTGCAGATTGAATTGAGTATTTATTGTAAAGTATTAATTATAGTTTTATTAATAACAAAGACTGTAATACTGTTATTTTAAATAAATTGTTTATAGATGTAAGTAATTTTTAATTATTAAACAGAGTAATTGAATTATTAGTTTCATTTACAGGCCTCTATCGCAAATCTCCAATTTCCACAATTAATTAAATTACTATATTTTTTGACTTAATTGAAGCTATTGATTAGTATTGTAGAAAATTAGGTCAAAATAATATTACTTATTAGCCATAATTATTGTATAGGCTAGATTATAATTCATATAAAGTCGCGCTCTTTTTGGGTGAACTTTATTGTAAGAAAAAAATTACTATATTTTTTGACATAATTGAAAAGGTTTATGTTTTCACACTAGTCTAAGTATTACCTCTATATCAATTGTCCAAATCACCAGCGACATCTGCCAATTAGTGGTAAGCAAAGTTTCAGCCGAAACCCAAATTCGCTGAAGAAACATACAGTACCTGTAGGAAACTTCTGACTATTTAGTAATTAAACCAATATTCTCGATATAACAAGCTAAGTTGTTAGCGGCAGTAACTTAGCTTTATCAAACATTTGGTATAACTATACCTATACGAACAGTCCGTTTGTTAATTTGTGTTATCAAAATTATTCTTTATTTGACCATTCATATAATTAATTTTTTTTATTTGACAAATTTGACAACACTAAAACAAAAAGATTTGTATTTATTATAGCAGTATGTTTCTAGCATTCTTATTAATTTAAGGTGGTATTCCAAAACTAAACTGCATATTAAAAAAAATAAACCAGCATTATTAAAATGGTCACCACCTCCTGGTTTACATAATGTAAACAAAAGTTCATAGAGATAAAGTTATTGTCTTATGTCGTTTTTAAATTTGTTAACGTGAAAATCAAATCCAAATTCGCCTATGTTTGACGCCCATACAGATACTACACGCAAAACTTGCGAAAGTGAACTGAGTAAGATTGCTTATATGCTATATATTATGAGAGTGTACAACTGTTCAATAGATTACCTATTAATAATTAAAAATAAATACATAAATCACCAAAATAAATTTAACTGTTTGGTGCCAGTGGAGCAGTAAATCCTTTAATATTTCCTAGCTGCCCACTGAAGTATTCCCGAACCAATTCGACATAGGGTCCTTCAAGAAAAGAGCGTACCAATTCTTAAAAGGCCGGCAACGCACTCGCGAGCCCTCTGGCATTGAGAGTGTCCATGGGCGGCGGTATCACTTAACATCAGGTGAGCCTCCTGCCTTTTGCCCCCCGTTCTATAAAAAAAAAAAAATAGCTGCATTGCGATACCTCTACGTTAAGAGAGGAAG